ATATAATTGTATTAAAAAAAATTATCCATATATCACTTTTTCATATAACTCAATTTCAAATTTTCATAATTTTAATTGTTTAACTAAATTCAATAGTTTTGATAATATATATAATTTGAATAACCTATACGTGTTACCCAAATCCCAAATTACTAGTATTTGAGATTTGGGATTTGGGATTTCGGCAAAAAATATTAATCATAATTTAGAATTTGGGATTTGGGATTTCGGCATTTGGAATTTCGACATTTGGATTTTGAATTTGGATGGCAGGTATAGAATAACCTAAACTAATCTCAAATTCTATATGAGTACATCAAAAAAATTTTAAATTCTATTAAAAATAATTTTGTTTTTATAAAAATTTTAAATTCTATTAAAAATAATTTTGTTTTTATAAAAAATTTTTTTTTAAAATTTATTTCAAATTTATTATATATAAACTAGACAGATATGAATTATATAATCACATGACTTATGATCTAGTAAAAGAATTATTGTTTAAAAAATCATTAATTGTTATTTATATTATTTTATTTTTTTAATTAACTTTTAATTATAAAAATATATTTATTGATTTCATTAGTAAATTGAAATTATATTAAATTAAATACAAAATATTTATCATTTCCATAATACTAATTTAATATATTTCTCTTATTTATTAAAAAATTAAAATCTTTATTATTTTATTTGATAAGTTATATAATAAATAGTTAATAGAATTATTGTATATAGTAGATTATTTATAAATATTAATATAAAAAAACTACAGAAACTTTTGTATCAATAGTTATTAAGTAGTAATAATTTTGTAACTTCAAGAAAACAACTTGTAAAATTAACTTGAATAAAAAAATATATATTAAATTGGTCTAAATAAAATAATCCATATAAGATAATTTAAATAAAGCAAAATGGCAAGAAAAAGGATAATTGAAAATTGGATAATCTAAATAAGAAAGTATCAATTGATAAAAAAACTCTTAAAAATAAAAAACAATCATGAAAACTTAAATAAATTATAATTTATTAATCTTATTTAAAATTAGTACTTTTTAAAATTAAAAATAAAATTAAAAATACTTGTTGTAATTTAAAAAAGTAATATAATCAATTATGACATATAATATAATTAATTAAGACATACAGTATATATATGTTATCAAAAGTAAAAAGCCTTTGATTCAATTATAATTTTTTCAATTTTTAGTTGTATTTGATTTAATAATTACAATTTTTCAATTTTTAATTATATCTAGTTCAATTCAATAGTTTGACAACATGTATAATACAGTGGCTTGCAAAAATAATGTATCACCTGATTTTTTGTCTTTAAAAGATTCTAATATTTGAACAATAGATTTTAAAACAATAGTTATTATTCATATTTTAATCTTTAAGTTTTGATAATTTTTTTGAGATATTTTTGATATAAATTTATAATTTTATTTTTGTATAAAGAAATAATATATATTGAGAATTGTTATTTAATAAAATTTCAATTGTGAATAAAATTTATACAGGATAGTTATGGCCAAGATATTTATAAAATTAATTGTCTTTCTTAAAAAGAATAAGTATGTCAAATTTCATAACAATTAAATTAGTAGTTATTAAAAGATTAATTTTTGAAAATCAAAATTTTATAAATAGTAATTTCTAAAAATAATGTATCACCTGGTTTTTTGTTTTTAAAAAATTCTAGTTCCTGAACAATAAATTTTAAAACAATAGTTATTATACATATTTTAATCTTTGAGTTTTGAAAACTTTTTTAAATTTTTTTGATGTCAAATTTATAATCCTAATTTTATATAAATAAATGAATTATTACTTATTTTATATAGAATAGTTATAGCCAAGATAATTATAGAACTAATTATCCTTTCTTAAAAAAAATAAGCATGTCAAATTTCATAACAATTGATTTAGTAGTTACCAAAATTAACTTGAAATTTGAAATTTATATATAAAATAAATAAAGAAATCTTTTATATGTAAAATTTCAATTTTAATTTTTTGATAATCACTAATTCAATTGCTATCAAATTTGACATGCTTATTTTTCAAAAAGGACAATTAGTTCTATGATTATCTTAATTATAATTATTCTGTTTAAAATTTTATTTACAATTGAAATTTTATTAAATAACAATTTTCAATATTGATCATTTATTTATGCAAAATCAGGATTATAAATTTGAAACCAAAAATATTTTAAAAAAATCTTTGAAATTCAAGCTTAAAATATGTATAGTAACTATTGTTCTAAAATTTATTGTTCAGATGCTAAAATTTTTTAAAGACAAAAAATCAGATGATGTATTATTTTTGAGAGTTATTATATAAAAAATTTATTTATTTATATGTAAAATTTTGATTTTCAAGAGTTAATTTCTTATTATGAAATTCAACATGTTTATTTTCTTTAGGAAGAATAATCAACTTTATAATTATTTGACTTCAACTGTTCTATATAAAATTCTATTCATAATTTAATTACTGAAATTTAATTGTATCAATATAACTGTATTAAATAATTATATTAATTACATACATCAATTTTTATATGACTCAATTTTAATTGCATCTGACTAAATTTAATAGATTTGATGATATATATAGTAAATACAAGTTACTTGTCATTCAAGTTACAGGTTTATTAAATAGCAAATAAATAAAATAGATATTATCTGATATGTGTAAAAACATTTTACATCATATATCAGACACTTTATATTTTGGCCTGTGAAATAATTTATATACTTAAATAGTATATAATAATAATGTAGAAAATTAAATTTTGGACATTTGATAAATTGTCTATATTACATTTTTAAACAAAAAAATAAATTTATAAATTATTTCAAATACTTTAACGGTTTCAACAATGGATGATAATTATTAAATATTAGCAGATACATTAAAGAGACAAAAGTTTATGGATAGAATGAATAAAAAGATTTAAAATTATTATAAAAATTAATAATATCTAAACCAAGATTTTCTTGTAGATCTTGAAACACTTGCTATAGTAGTACAGATAATAGTTTGAAAGTTAAAATAATTTTTTAATTATCCCTGAATCATTGAATTCATTAGGTAATACAAAATTTTTTTTTTTTACTTTTCTATTTTTGTTGTAGTATACTTATTATTCCAAGAAAAAAGAAACCCGATAACATGATTAACACGCGCACAACAAAAATATTATTAACTAATAATAGTTTAGTTCGTATTGAATGATCATATTAAATCATATCATCAAATCAATCAATCAATATAAGATTTTGAATGAATGTCACGCAAATTTTTAGCCGCAATAGAATTAAATAAAATTGTTTTCTCCACTTTAACTTTATATAAAAAAATGGGTATTGTTCCGTTGTTGGAACCTTTTAATTTTTATTTGTAAAAAAAATTTTTTTTTTTTTGAAAATCCGATTACCAATTTTACCAATTCATGCTAAATTGACCGACCGAACCGACCACCAATTTTTTTTTTAAAATAAAAATAAAGTGTGACTGTGTGAGACTTAAAAATGTGAGAGTAATTCAACAAAACTACACTAAAATTAAATAAACAAAACAATAAAAAAAGACGAGGAGTAACAGTTCTTTAGATTTGTCATTCATGCTTAACTATTCCAATTCTGATATCTTTCTTTTGTTTTGTATATTTTACCAATTAAAGTTAAGTTGATATATCAACTTATTGAGTTTTTACACTCTAATTTTTTTCGTGCCCTCATTTTCTTGTAAATATTTTTTCTTGCACTTAATACTTTATCTTACTCTATCTTACTCTTTTTTGCACTCATACACATATTCTATCTTTCTTTCTTGCTTTCATACACACACACTATCTTTAATTTGTAACATCAAGCAAAATGAATAATAATAACCTCGAGCAAATAATATTAAAGTAAATAAAAAAATAAAAATAAAAAAAAATAAATATCATTAATGATAAAATCCGTTTTATAGTTCTCATAGTTTATAAGTTAATAACCTTATAGTTTTACAGCAGTTAAATTATTTAAAAGATTTACACTATCTAATTAATACTAACCTTCTTTGTATAGTTTATTTACTAACTCACTATGGCTTAGTTATTCTACACCAATCTGCAATGAACTGAATGAACAGTAAAATAAACTGCTAATAGACTCGGTGATTGAACATGAAATTCTATTATTGACTTTTTATTATTATTATTTATTATTATTGTTATTATAATAATATACATAAACTTTACACAACATCCGTAAACTTTGATAAACTCGTTATTATGAAAATAAAATAATAAAAAATAAAAATACAAAATGCATATCCGTTTATTAAAGGTATTCTAAAGAATGTTTAGAAAAATCGGATTGACATGTTCTCTGCGTCTTACGGAGTTTCGTTGTAATCCGGATTTTTTTTTTTTTATTTATATATATCATTGTATTATCAAATTATTGATCAATAAATACATTTTTAATAATAATAAAAATAAATCATAATTATAGTAATATATAATCTATAAAATCAAATTATAGTCTAATTCTTTAATTATACTAATTATAATAATTATACTATCTACACTACATTTTTTTAATAATTTTTAATATACGTATATTATATATCCGACATATAATCCACATTTGGATAAATATTTGGATCTATATTGGATCACTCTCTGGATCTGTGAAACACATCTATGCCCACACATCTTGACGCACTTATGCAAAAACTTAGTGGCGGTGACACTACGCACCGAGTCCTGACCCACTTTGATCGTTGGCAAAACTTTTTTTTTTGTCTTATTAATTATGTTTTGATAAACGCTTTTTTTTTTTTTAATAACCCCCCGTTTTATCCACTCTCTACTTACTTTCTACTTTCATATTATTATTATTATTTTGTTTTTATTACTCTTCCGATACTTGTACCTATTATTTGCAAATTTTCAATCTTTGCATTATTTGCTTGACCATAAGCAAATTTATTAAATGTCGTCTAATAGTCAACCTCAAGCTTGTTTTCAAAAACTAAGTCAAATAAACGAGCAAGCATGGCTACAGATGGGTAGGTGTCATCGATTACAAGATGTGTAAGGAGAATTTACTCCGTTCCGTGAATTGAAAACACTTTCAAAATTTTTTTTCATATTATTATTTAGAGAATACAGTCGTGTCGCTCTTTAAATCGTTCATTTTTATTAATGTTCTCATTATATCTTTCAATTTTTATTTATTTATTTATTTTCTTCATTTCCTCTTTTTTTTTATTTGATATTAATTATTATTATTATCTTTATATTATATCGATATACTTAATAAAAATTTTTATTATTTTATTTTTATCATGATTATTTCAGGTGCTGCTGCAGAGTTGATGCAGGAATATGATCGTGCCATGAGTGCTTATGAGTCAGCTTTGCGGCATAATGCTTATTCCGTTCAAGCCTTATCTAATATTGCTGCTCTTTGTCGTGGAAGGGAACAGTTTCCAAGAGTACTTATTATTATAATTTAATTTTAATTTAATTTTTATTAATTTAATTTAATTTTAATTTTTAATTTTAATTTATTTATTTTTATATTTTTATTATATTTTATTATATTTTATATTTTATCATATATTTTATCATATATTTTATCATATATTTTATCATATATTTTATCATATATTTTATCATATATTTTATTATATATTTTATCATATATTTTATTATATATTTTATTATATATATTTTTTTTAAAGGCGGTAGAATATTTTCAAAGGATTCTAAGTATTGATCAATCAAATGGAGAAATCTGGGGTGCTTTAGGTAAATAAATTATTTCCAAACGCGTTAAATTTAGTAATAAAAAGCAACGCGTTTGAAGAAATACGCGTTAAAGATATCGCGTTGTTCATCCATCCTTTAATTTGGCTATGTCATTATCCTCGTAATTATTATTAATAGAAAATTAATTTTTCGTTCTTATCGAATTTTTTTTTTTACTTTAATTTTAATTTATATCATAATTTATTACTCTCTTTAAATTATATTAGGGCACTGTTATTTAATGATGGATGATTTACAAAAAGCATATAGTGCATATCAACAGGCTCTCTATCATCTACCTAATCCCAAAGTATTTTATCTATTTTATTTTATTTTATTTATAATTATAATAAAAAGTTATAATAAATTTATAACATTGATTTTTGTTAATTCCACTTTTAATCCCACTTTAATTCCACTTTAATTATACTTTAATTATATTTAATTATACTTTAATTATACTTTAATTTTATTTTAATTATACTTTAATTATACTTTAATTTTACACTTTAATTATACTTTAATTATATTTTAATTATATTTTAATATATATTTTAATTATATTTTAATTATATTTTAATTTTACTTTAATTTTACTTTATTTACGCACACTATTTTAAGGAACCTAAACTTTGGTACGGAATCGGTATTCTGTATGATCGTTATGGATCTTTGGATCATGCTGAAGAAGCTTTCTCTCAAGTTATGAGGATGGAACCAAAATTTGAGAAAGCCAATGAAATTTACTTCAGATTAGGAATTATATACAAACAACAACAAAAATATGATCAAAGTCTTGATGTAAGCCTTTGATACAACAGATTGTTTCTGATTTCTTAGGTTTTTCTTTCTATAGTTTTAATCTTTTTGATTTCACTCTAATGTTTTTTTTTTTTTTTTTGTTAATTTGAATTCTTAGTGTTTTAAATATATTCTCCATAACCCACCAAGACCTTTAACCGAAGTCGATATTTGGTTTCAGATCGGTCACGTTTACGAACAACAAAAAAATGTATTTATTTATTTTATAAAAAGATATTCAAATAATTACCTCATTCTTTTCAACTAAAAAAAATTAAAAATAATAATCATTATTATTTGTTTCTTAAGTTTGGAGCAGCTAAAGAAGCCTACGAAAGAGTATTAGCTGATAATCCAAATCATGCAAAGGTTCTTCAGCAACTTGGATGGTTATATCATCAACAAAATGCATCTTTCAGTAATCAAGATTTAGCCATCAATTATCTAACTAAATCTTTGGAATCTGGTAAGTTATTTGATTTCTTCTTGGTAAAGGTAAAAAAAAAATAATACTTAATTATGATTTCTTTATTATAATCTCTGATTTCTATAATTAATTTTGCAGATGGTAGCGATGCTCAATCATGGTATCTCCTTGGACGTTGTTATATGGCTCAGCAAAAATATAACAAAGCGTATGAAGCTTATCAACAAGCTGTGTAAGTTGACAATTTCTATTTATTTTTATTTATTTATTTTTTTTTTTATTGCGATGTATATTTAAGTATATCGATATTTAAATATATCTACATTTCAAAATTTTTATTTCATAGTTATCGTGATGGTCGTAACCCTACTTTTTGGTGTTCTATTGGAGTTCTATATTACCAAATAAATCAAGTAAGTTTTCATCATGAAATTTAATAATATTTTTATTATTTTCAAATATAATAATTAAAATCTCGAAATTTTTATTATTAGTTCCGAGATGCTTTAGACGCCTATAGTCGTGCTATTCGTTTGAATCCATACATAAGTGAAGTATGGTACGATCTTGGTACACTTTATGAATCCTGTAATAATCAAATCAGTGACGCTTTGGACGCTTATGGACGCGCCGCTGAACTAGATCCCGCAAATCCTCATATAAAGCAACGTTTACAAATGTTGAGGAATCAACAAGCCCAGGGTGGTCAAACAACCGCACCAATCCCTCAAGATGTTAACCCTCAAGCCTATCAAACTAATAATGGTCCACCTCCAATGCTTGGTAACCCTCCTACATTTGCTCAACCATCACCAGGTCCTCAAGGTCCCCCCGGTATGCCGGGTTACGGTAGTAGACCCCTTGATAACAGATCAAATCATCCTTCCGTTCCTATCTCTTCATTATCATCTATGCATAATCATGGAGAAAATACCCATCGTGACTTACCTCCAATGAATAGAAGAAGTCCAGGTCCTTCAAATTCATCATATACTCATCCACCTCATCTTCGTGAACCTAATCCACCTACTCCACCCAATCAACATATCCTTAATCCCGTAATGTCTCCTCATGAACAAAGACCTTTGACTCCTCATCAAACTCAACCTCAATCTATGCGTCATAATTCAGATAAACGTTCCTCTTCTCCTCCCACACAACTTCCACAAATTCAAGAAGACAGACGTTCCAGACATTCACCTGAACCTTACCCAAGACCATCGTACCCTCTTTCACCAAGAATGCCAATTCCTGATCATGGTAATTCTCAACATTCAAGTTATCCACATTCTTCACATCACGATATCCCACCACCACAATCTCATCACTCATCAGCTGTTGTTGATCGTCGAGATACAGATATTTATGATCATGTGAAAGGAAAACCTGAAGAAAACAATGTACGACACGGAAACGGAGTAGCGCCTTATCATAATTCTGAACCAAATGAAACTCTCCCACATCACAATAATCGTCGTGAATATCCAGATCCATTAGATTCAATAATGAAAAGGGAAGAGACTCTTCGACCGATTGATCATACAAGAGTTTCACTTTTAACAAACCCACGTTCTGATTATAATGATCACAGGATGTCAGAAGGAGGAGGAGGAGGAGGAGGAGGAGGATCAGTAGGATCAGTAGATGACAAGGGAATACCACCATACCCATCATATCATCAAGATGATCATCATACAAGACGTCTTCCTGTTCTTCCTGAAATTAAAAGTTCTGAACCTCCTTCTCAAAGACCTCTCCCTGATTCACCTGCCCCGGAAACTGGTTCTTATGTTAACGATCAACATAGTCCTGTTTCAAGTATTCCAAATATTCCTGGGAACGAAACTCCTCGAAAGTCTTCAACAGATCAACGACCCGATATGTCACGTGAATTACCCAAACCAATTTCATATGAAGAATCAAGTCCTACCGAACCAAGGTCACCGAATTTACCACGAATTATAGGTGATAATACTTCAAATTCACCTACCAGTCCACTTGATAATGAAAACAAACCAGTAATGTTACCAGCTATTCGTACAACACCTGGTAATGAACGTTCATCCGTATCCAATTCTGCTCGTCAAGTAGATGAAGATTATGATGGAGCAGCAGATGCTTTAGTTAGTATGAGTAGTGAATCAGTAACTTCTTCCACAGGTGCGCAAAAACGAGTTTATTCTCCAAAAGCCGATGATCTTGATGATCGTCGGGATGAAAAAAGATCTAAACCTACACCCACCACACCCCGAGATGAAGCACAATCTCCTATATCGGAACGTGAAAGAGAACAACGAGAGAGAGAAAGAGATCGTGATCGAGAACAACGACAAAGAGAAAGACGAAAATCTGATCAAAGTGTTAATGAAGGCAGTACTCACTCACCACATACACCTTAGATGTTTGGTCGTGGTTGGTTAACTTGTTTCTTTATAATTTACATGTTATGACCTTTTATTTTATTAAGTTTGGTTGTGGTTGGTCAATTAGATGTTTTTTGGTGGATCGTACATTTTCTCTTTTATTGTTGTTATATTTTTTTTTAGTGAGTGAGTGGTTGGTTTGGTAATTTTTTTTAGTAGGCGTGTGCATGTTCACATTTGATATTTCCATTTATTTGAGTGTATGATTCATGGGTCGTACATGCTTTTTTTTTCATTTGGTGGGTTGTATATGTTCTTTCCTTTTTTTTTCTTATTTTGTATATAAGTTTCAAAGCTATTTGATTGTGTTTTCCTATTATTTTTGGGAAAGTATTTCAAATAAATGCTACATTTTCCATTTATTCGCGTAGAAAAATTATTAGTTCGAATATTGAGCATCGATTTCTTTTAATTTCCATTTTATTTTTTTATATATTATATACATATGTACAGGATAATAAGATTATCACCAACCAGTGGTTGTGGTGAATTTTTTTAGTAATAATTTGAATTTTGTATTTAGTAATAATTAAAGGAGAGAAGGAAGGATTTTGCAAAAACGATACTCAATAATTTGAACTATGTAGCATTTACGTGTAATAATTTTTTTTTCTTATTTTCCATTTTCGTATTTTCTTTTACATATACTAGTTTGATAGTAGACTGTTTTTTCTATTCTGTAGTACTTTTTCCAATAAAGGATATTGATTTACTAAAAAATTTCTATAAATGCATCCCGCAAATTGTCCTGTGATAAAGTTTTTTTTTTTTTTTTACAAGTAAAAAATGTCATCAATAATTCAAAATAAAATTGCACCATGGAATTCCATATTAAAATCTGTTATAATGAAATATAAAATGGAATCATTTCGTATTCCATCGATGCAGGTAAAGAATTTTTGCTTCAATTTCATGATATTATTATAACAATCTTTTATCTATTGAAACATTTTAAAAATAAATAAATAAAATAATATTCTTAATGATTCGGGAAATTAGTTATCAACTATAAATCATATAACTCAAAGACCTGCAAATCGAAATGTAATATTTCGAGGTTTCGTTGGAGGAAATAAAGATCAAGATTTTGATTTACTAGATGATAAAAAATTACAAGAATATTTAAAAGATTTAATTCAAACATCATCAATTATATTAAATTCAAAATTAGAAAATGATTTATTGGTTATTGCAACTGATATAAGATCAAATAAGGTTTTACAGTTAAAGAATGATCCTGGATGTGAATTGTGTTGGTATGAAAATTTTTTAAATAATTTTATTTTTATTTTTATTTATTTTATTTTATTTTATTTTTTTATATATTCGAATAAAAAAATATTTTCCATTTTTACAAAAAAAAGGTGGTTTCCAGAAACTGGTGATCAATTTCGATTATCGGGGAATGCATATATTTTATCATCACCTTCAAACAATAATGATGATTTTCCATTTTCAATGCTTTCATCTTACCTAAACTCTTATTCTTCCATTCCATTCGATTGGGAACAAGAACGCTTAAAAATTTGGTGTAATCTTTTACCAGAAATTCGATCATCATTTATTAGACCTCCTCCAGGTCAACCTATAATATCAATAAAAAATATTGACAATAATAATAATTATCCCGGAAAAAAAGGCAAACACCTTAATGCAATAGGTAAAGATAAAAATGAAAAAGAATTAATTAAAAATGCTTTAGAAAATTTCGCTCTTGTCATTTTTAATATTGATTTTGTGGATAGAGTTCAATTGAATATTGAAAAAAGAACTACGTGGGAATTCAGAGAGAAAGAGGGTAATAAATGGACCGAAGTGGATGTTTATCCGTGATAAGCAAAAATATGCATAACAATAACAACTTAAATTGATAATTCTACGACTTTATTTTAAATAAATAAACTAAACCTTATTTAAATAAATAAATAACTTTATTTCGAAATAATTAAATGCAACTTAAATTCTAAATAAATAATTATCTAAATGAAGATGAACTAAAATAACTTATGTCAAACCTACAGCACTTACAAGGACAGGAAATTAACCACATGATAATTTATAAATATTTAAGGTGCCTCCGACCCCAACGAGCAAGTAGTGCAGAACAGAAAATACTTTGGCCTTCAGTTCTTTACAATTCTTTTTGTTGACTGGCTGCCAATGCTAATTTTCTTGACAAGTTCGATCGATACAAAAAGATGTACGATTACGCATCTTTGTTGCACGCGATACTTGCCTTTGACTTGAATTTCCTTCGCGAGTGCCAAAGTATTTTTCAGTTCTGCATTATCAGTATATTGCCGTTGTAACAGCGAGTGTCAAATGGAGTTGGAAATACCTTAAACTTTAAACCAAATATATATATAAATTACTATGTGGTTAATTTCTTGTCTCCTTAGTGACTGTATGTTTATAACGAGTGTAACGAGTGTGAATATGAAATTTAGGTAACTTTTTTATTATTATTATTTGTTTTAAAAAAATACTTTTTAATGTATTATAGGTGAAAATGAGTGCAGGAATAAAAAAATATTTTTAAAAGCGGATAGTTTTATTTCTACGTTCATGTTATTTTATTGTATTATCACAAAAAATTAGATTATTTATTTCACGTTATCCACGCTATTCATTTTAATCCTCTAACTTTGTAACCTCATTTACCATCTGTATCTCTTACGATCTCCTGGTTTCAATATTCGTATAGCATCTTTGGAAAGTAAATAACTAAATCCGGACCAAATTGTTGTTCCAGCTACAGTATACTGCAATGCTGTTAAATATGATGAATCGGTCATTCCTAGAAGTGGACTCGTGAGCGTAGCACCCATAAGTACTAATTGCAATGCTGTATTTACCTTTAAAAGTATTATATAAAAAAATAATAATAATCAATAATAATTAATGAATAATATTAATAAGGAAGAATAAAAATAATTATAATTACCTTACTAATAACCGTCGGCCTTACTTCAGCAGATGGAATACTAAAGTCAAAATATCTATTAATTGTTTTCTGAAAAAAAATAAAAGGGAATTTGAACTAATTTTGTTCTAATTAACAAATCATAATGTCAGAATTTTTTAATCTTTTATCTTTTATTTACCGGTGGTGGAAGTGAAATAAATCTATAGTAAAATGATGCTAATATCAAACATCCATCACGACCAAGAATTACAGCCGCTATCGGTGCTTTAATAAACACTGTCAATATAAATAATTTAAAATATTGAGATAAAGCGTTGCGAACATTTTTAAAATATTTACTTGGTATTAAATCTTTCATGTTTAAAGTAACTGTTATGATTGTCATTAGTATTTTATCTGCTAATGGATCCATTACAGTTCCTACCATCGTTTGTAATTTATAATGTCTCGCAATAAATCCATCCAACTATATATAATAAAATATATTTAAATTTCATCCAACTACATAATTAAAATATGTTTAAAATTGAAAAAAAAGAAAAAAAAATCTTTTATTTGACAAAAAAAAAAAGTCCAAGCATACCAAATCTGTAATTCCAGCATACATAAAAGCACCTAATGCAAACTTATAATGTTCATTTAGAATAAAATATCCAATAACAGGAGAAACAGCTAACCTAGAAATTGTAAGAATGTTTGGCAAATTCCATATTTTTTCCCTGGTTGGAAACTTTTTCAGCTGATCATAAAAAGATATTAAATAAATTAAATAAAAACAACTAAGTAAGGAAGATATTAATGAATAGTAAAACTTTATAAATTTACTTTACGTAAAATTTTTTTAGGTTTAATGTTAGGTTTAATTCTTTTTATCTTTTTATTTTCGTTATTTTCGTTATTTTGTGTGAATTCTGTCGAAAATTTTCTAATGCTCATAGGAAATCGTAATTGAAATCTGTAAATAAGGAAATTCTTAAGAGAGAAAATATTGCATTTTAAAGAATTTTTAGGAAACTTTCTTAAATTCAAAGGAAAAAATAAACTCGTCATTATTCAAGTGTGAAATATTATCTGTTATTTTCAAACGCATCTATAGGATTGTAGTACAATCAAACATGTGTCAATCATTATCTTTCGAAGTTTGTTATCGAATAACGAAGTAAATTTAATTTAAAGAAAAGTATTACTTTAAAATTCAAGTTTTTTTTATTTTATTTTATTATTATTTATTTGACTCACGTTCGTTTTTTTGTTAAACTGTGGTAACTTACATAATTAAAGAAAGCACAATTTCAATAAGATATTGTATTAATTCATTAATAAATACATTTTTCAATATTTATTCTTAAACACGTAGAGACAATTATTTAGTTACATTATGTATATTTAAATTATAAGAGTATAACAGATATTACTATTTAATTTATTCTTGAGATACTGGTGAAATAATAGGTTTTTCATTAACTTCATCATCTAATTGCGTTGTTGGTTCAATAATTTCATCTACAACTTCTAATGTTGGGAATGAATAATATGACTCAACCTGAGCTTCTTTTGTGATTTGTCTCAATTTTGTTAACAAATCTGTTGATTCAATTATGGCAGATGGTAATAATGGACATGAAGTAGGAAAATTCTAAAAGAAAGAATAAATTTAATTTAATAGTTCAAATTTATTTACTTTAATTTAATAATAACAATCAAAAAAAATAATAATAATACCATTTCATTCTGGAAACTAGTATGAGATCTCATAATTGCATTACATAAAACAAATCGTACTAGAAATTGACGAAGGAAATCATCTTGCAAAAATCTTTTTAATGATCTTTCTGCAATATGAAAAGATTATGATAAGATTGAGATAAGATTTTGATAAGATTCGAGAATATTTTAAATAATTAAATAATTGATATATTGATCTTACCCAATTGAGACGAATTAAAAAGTTCGACGATTATAATTTCCGCTTCAGAAACCAGATTTACACACTTTTCCCATGTATCAGGATCTAATTGACCAATACCCGAAATAAATGCGAATCCAAGAAGAGGCGTGTGAAGAAATAGTGTGAAAAGGCTACCAATCTGGGAAGTATCTAAAAAAGGAGAATTATTATTTGTTTGTACTGGAAAAATAATGATAATAATTTGCTTAACACCCCTTTTTATTAATAATTTATGAAATTATTATCGTACCAGGAATAGAGTCAGGATATTCAGTAGGAGACATGAGACAGAGAAACGGTTGATTGAAAATCTTGGGAAAATTCTAATAATTCAATATTCAACACCAGATTAAAAAGTAATAAAAATATATTCGTTTAAAGAAATAAAAAAAATTAAAGAAATAGGAAATCGAGAAATGCATAATATATGTATTACCACAAAAGCTGTGCTGTTATTGCTATCAATTATTAAGCATAATGGTTTTCGAGTAAAAGGTACTAAATCGTCAGGATGTAAACAATTAATCAATCCATTATTATCAGATGTATCAGACTTATCAGCTGCTTTTCGAGCACTTGTCGCAACACCTCCGGAATATCCTACTGTTAAAAAAGATATTTTTAACGGTAAACAATAATACAAAAATAATATAATAAAAATTTATTTATTTCGAACCATTGAGAGAACTCGAATCGTTATTGTTTGCACGTTTTGCACCATCAGCAGAAATATAAAGTAATAAAGCAGAATTTTCATTGATTTCCTAAGTGATAGATTATTATAATCTTGTATCAATGTTAATATTAAAAAAAAAATAAAATAAAATAAAAATAAAATAAAAAAGTAATTAAAAAATAATTTCTAAATAATAATTACCTTGAAAGCTGTTGCAATATAAACTAATAACTGACTAAAAGTTGGTCTATACAACAGATATTTATGTGGATTGAGCCTTCTGGATGCAGTTTTATCAACTGATAAATTGACATTTGATTGATCCTCGATAGATATATCATCTTTACCGGTGCCTCTTTCATTAGTTGAAGTATTTTCACTTGGTGCTTTTTGTGGTGCACTCTTTTGTAAAGCAGGCTCACGTTCTAAAATCCAGAATCAATAATAAAAAGAAATTAGTAATGAAATTAGCCAAAGAAATAAACATTCTATAATATAATATACCTAATGACTGTAAAATATGGTACATATCGAGTGTAAGCTCCGAGAATTTGATTTGATTTTGATAATTTCCCACCAAAATTGCTTCTTGGAGTTTTAATTTGGGGGTTCCATCTTTTTCAAGTCTCGGACTCCTTTCGATTTGGAGACGACGAGCAATTGGTAAATAATGACCTTCAGGTGAAATTGGGGCAAGTTTTTTTTCAGCCTAAATATAAAATATTTAAAATATTTTAAAATATTAAAATATATTTATAAACAAATATTATTTTTAACGAAAATATACAAATCCAAATAAATATTTATATTAGAAAAAAAAATACCTCTAAAAATGTACTAATTTCTTGAAGTACCGATTGCCATTCATTTGAATCAGCAGGTTTAAATATTTTTATGTAATCATCAACAAGACCACTTAATTCTTCCATTAACTTTTGTACAATATCTCGATTATTTAACAATAGGCATACAACGATAAATCGAGCATAATATCTTAATTTCTTAATCATTAAATTTGGACTAAATAATAAATAAGATCAAAATTATTTAAATTATTTTAAAAAACAATAATTCTTATTAAGTAAAATATATGCATAAAATTTTAAATATACTTTTTTACGTCAAGCACATCTTTAAAATAAGCCCTTTCACGAATTGCTTCATAAAATATATAGGATTCATGAAGATAGTTTGTCTCGCTTGTACGTAGACTTTTAATAAAATAATAATTATTAAAAATAAATATAAAAATAAAAATAGAGATATATAAAATACATATATATATATATATATATATATATATATATAAATATATAAATATATAAATATATAAATATATAAAATATACAAATATAAATATATAAAGAATATACAAATGTAGCAAATGTGCAGAATGTACAAATGTGCAGAATATAAAATAATATTAATACATACTAGTAATGATAATAAAGTTGTCCGATTTTTGATGCAATCTCGCCCACTTCCCACCGTTTAAGACCATAATTATCTTTATTTTCTAGAACAAATCTGAAAATTTTTTTTAGAATTTAAATATTAAGATTTTAGTTTATTATATTAAAATAAAATAAATTCTAAAGAGAAAAAAAGTCAACCTATTCTGTTGTTGGAATTTCCATAACTAAAAATAAAACAAATATTTTATGAATAATGTATAAATAACGCGTTTTTTAAATTGGTTATAAAATTGAATAATTAATTGTATACTGCCTTTGTATAAACTTCAAAAGTTCTTTGAAAGTACGGTTGCCATTGACGACCACCAGTTGGTGGAAGATCCCTACAGATTCATAGTTCTTGGGTTTATTTAATCCGAAATTTGAACTATATTTATATCTAAAGTTTTTTTTTTTTTTTTACCTCAAACCCGCAAACAACTGTTGACTTTTTTCCAAAAGATACTGAAATTCTTCTACAATTTTTTGATTATTCGTAGCTGGGTCAATTACTTTACTATCTTTTTCAGTGGTACTATTGTTGTTATTAAGTGAGGGCGTATTACTCTCTTCCATGACAACATCTTGAAGAGTTGCTTGTGATGAGGAGGTTGAAGCTAAAGGTATAGCAGTTATGGGAGTTTGTGAATCTTTTGTTGATTCTTCCATGCTTAGATCATTGACTACTTAAAGAAAATACTGAGAAAATACTATTTATCGGGTTTTTGCAATGAGATAGCAAAACACGAGTAATTTCTTCGCGTACATTACGGAGTTTTACCAAAGAGGAACTTTACATATGTATGTATAAAATTAGTGTGATTGTGACCAAGTTCTTGGTTGTTTTTAATTGCTAAATTTAGAAATTTTAATTTTAACAAAGGATTATTATATATTTATTTATCCAGTTACAATGATCTCAGTTTTAACCATTCCTTCGTGAAAGTACTGAAACAATCACACTTAGAGATAGTTTATTATTATTTTTGACGAGTGAGTAGGTTAACATAAATAATTTTCAAAAAAAAAGAAAAAAAAGGTAATTTTTTAATTATTATTTTGAATTTACTGAATTGGATAAATAAATTATAATTATTATAGTTACAGAAATAGAAATTAAAAATTATAAAAAACTTAAAGATATAGAATAATATTTCTAAGAACGATTAGATTATAGAAAAATTGGAAATTTACAAACTTTGAACGAGAATATAAAAAAAAAAAATGCCCAAAATGCAAGATAAAAATAGAAATATATTCTAGGTGAACAAATATTAATTCTTTATACCCATCAATCTTTTTTTTATCTTCTTTCATTATTATCTTTCATTATTATTATCTTTCATTATTATCTTTCATTATTATTATCTTTTTTTATTAATTTTATTATCTTTTCTTATATTACTTGGCTCTAAAATTGGAAAATTGTAAATAAGAAATGACAAATGTTTAATAAAAAAAATGGTTATTTTAAATAATTAATAATACTTACGGTTGATTATTCCAAGAGAGATAAGTATGATCTCCGAGTTTTCTATTAAATTATAAGTTGTTTTAACAGTCAATAATGAATAACAATAATTAAAAAATTACGAAATTACAAAATTTAGACATGATAATTATGAAAATTAATATACCTTGGTTTATGTAAATGTCTAGCTGTGAAGATGCATCCAAACAATACACATACAATTCCTGATGCAATATACGCGATACCCAAGAAAGGATTTTTGCCACCAAGGAATGAGACAGTAGAAATAACCAGTGACTTAGTGCCGCCATATCGAGTTACCGGATATTCTTTAAATACAATTGTTTAGTTAAATAATAATAATAATAAAAAAAAAAGGTAATTTTTATAATTTTTAAATATAATTTACTCACTGTAATCAATAAGTACTTCATAAGTCCCTACTTTCAATATATCATTATCATTTCTCCCATGTAATTTTCTGAAATCGGGGAGACCAGCCGTACGCATCCAAACTTGAAATGTTTCGTCAGTAGAAATGTCACGTGGAGGATATTCGTCAGTATAAGTACCATTAGGATAATTATCAACCCAATCTGGTGGAGGGGCAATTTCCGATGGTTTATATTGAGTCTTGCCATATTTTTTCTTATCTGAAGGCCAAGCAATATTTTTCTGAGTAAATTCGTAACTTTCAGTTTCATTAGTTCCACCGGCCGGATTGAGAAGTGTGAGATTATAAATAGTGTCTAAGATTTTTTGAAATTTTTGTATATTAAGGTTAAAAAGGATAATTATAATTATTATATGTTTTTATTTAATGAACTTACGAAAAGGTGGGAATTCTGCATACCTCCTTTAAGAACATAACTAATAAATAAATTATATTGAATATTTACCATTAAATATAGAATTTGCAATTAATCCACAAGGATATATCGCAAGTTGATTATCATTTTCTCCTAATGGTTTACAATTGCCTCCTTTAAGTGTACTCACTGGAACGGCAACACCTTTAAGTTGATTAGCATCAAAACTTTTGACATATCTTCGATGATTTTGATAAAAGTTTGTTAAACGATAATAAAGAAAAACCGGAGGTTTTAATTCTGAAGGAATGGTGAATTGAAGACGACAACGCCAAACATTTTTATCGGTAAAATTCGCTTCTGGAGGTCGAAAGACTTCGCGACTCCAAGTAGCAGTTGAGTTTGATTGAGGAAAATAAGATTCTACAAAATTTTCAGGGATATTCTCATATTTAGGATAATCTGGTGCTAGAATTAAAAAAAAAAAAGGGGGAATTAAAAAAGTGAACTAAAAAAAAAAAGAAAGAATTAAAATATATAAATTAAGGAAATTAAATACCTCGAGAATCACAATAAGTATAATCGATAATTATTTCAGAAACCTAAATTAGGATTTTGTGATGAATATATACTCATAAAGAAAAAGTGAATCCAACTTGAACCCTTACATTGTTACTGGCGTACAGTAGTAGTCCACCAAGAGGGGCAAAGATGATCCCCACAATGAAAAATGTTGGCAAAACTGTCTTCGGTGTGAGGATCGGTTGCCATGCCTTTAAGCGTTGTTGTTTGAAGGCAGTATCTATTATAACATTTTATTGCATCGTTGTAATTACATAACTCTTTTGCTGAATTTAAATAATATTTTCTGCTTTTTTCTTACTTGCAGGTTTACGGCTCTTTCCTTCCGGAGCCATTTTGTGGTGAGTTTTCTACTTAATGTGACTGTTTGCTTTGTTACCTTCGATTTCCTGATGATAACAAAAGAATGAATATTTTTTTATGGGTTTAAAAAAAACGATGATCAATTAATGATCGTTTAACTCAGTATAAACTAAAGAATTGTGTGTGACCTTTTTAAAAATACAATTAATTATGCGTCTTATTTGGCTTAGTTTAACACAATAAAACGAAATTATCATAAATTTAATAATTCTCTAAGAGTTTTAATTGATAGAATGAGAAACCTGAAAAAAATAATCCTACGACTAAAAAATATTTATTGAATGATTTAAAGATTTATATACATCATGTGACCACAACTGATACTCTATATTATTTATTTATTTTTTTTTTTAAAAAAAAAAGAAATTATCACTTGTGACACCCTTGTAATATTAATGAATTACAATATACAAAGGTGATTTTAATAAATCCAAAGTTAATCGAACAATAATATAACTTTCGGCTAAATTTGTAAATTTGTTCAAAATATAATTGCTTGTTCCTAAAGAATATATAATAAGTGTATTAAAATGTAAATAGAATTTAAGAAAAACGCGTTGAAATAATAAATAATGGAAACTAAAGATTACCAATTCTCGAACTTGCTTAAGACATAATTTATATTCATCTTTATAATCGAAGTTTTCTTCGTTTTTTAGATCTGGAACTATCATCACTACGCTGGTCGGACGTTTAGCTGAACATGAAAATCCAAGATCAGCCTTTGCCGGAATGAAAATATATGGTACATTATGTTCTTCGCATAATATTGGAATATGAGAAATTACATCCGGAGGAGAAATATCGCCCGCTATTACAACAAGGCTATAATATAATCCGGATCGAAATTAAAAACAAATCATTTATGATAGAAATATTCTCTTTAATTCAGACATACCCTTTATGATTTTTTTTTAAAGCCTTAGTAACTTCCTTAACACCACGTCTGCACTGCCTTTTCTTTGAAGCTAACATGATTAAAATAATTTAGTACATAATAAGTTTATTATTATTATTATTATGATCAATGTTTTAAATTAAAATTTTAAATCCTGTGCGGAATAATATACACAATTTAGAATTCTATATGCAAAAAAATTTATGCATTTTTTTTATGTGTGGAATTTTCAAATTTTGTGCTAGCGCACATTCCGCACATTGAATTTCAAACACTGATTATGATTATGATTATGATTATTATTACTATTATGTTTATAAATACCTTTTCGAACGGTTTGCATTAATTCCAAAACGAATTCTTTAGAAGCTAATGGTATAGAAAATGGAACCAACGCACTTAAATCATAATGCACAATCATAGTTCCTTCTTTTTTTGGAGTTGCCTCTTCCATTTTAACGTCGCCATTTTTTTCTTTTTTTGAAGACGTTGCCTCTTCCATTTTAACGTCAATGATCTCTTCGCCATTTTTTTCTTTTTTTTCCTTCTTATCTTTCCTCTCTTTCTTCTCTTTTTTCTCTTTCTTCTCTTTCTTTTCTTTCTTTATCTTTGTTTCTTTTTTGTCTTTAGGCATTATCAAAAATTTATTAATCACGATATTGATAAAATAATTTTTTTAACATTTACAACGTTACACCAGATCTAATATATTTACAATTTATTATTCAAAATAAAATTGAAGAGAAAATCTTTATTAAATATTTTATGATTTATGATTTATTACATCGACTAACTGTATAAAAAATATAATAAAAATTTTTTTGAATATTTTATTCAATTTTTAACCTTAAATTCAAGGCGTTTGATTTGTCTTCTTTTAAGTGGTTTCCTGCAGAGAGCACACATTTTTTGTGTTTTCACTGCCATACTAATACATACGAAACAAAAAATGTGACCACAACTTGTTGATGCAACATCATGTGGTGGATCAAGGCAAATGGAACATTTGACTTTAAGAGGTTTTGATGATAAATTTATTTGTGAATTGGGGGGATATGAAGACACAAGCCCTCCTTGTGGAAGAGCGTTTTGAAGACTTATTAAATGTGGTGGAGTGATTTTTCTTTCTCTTAAATCTATCGTGGTAGATAGATGAATAGGCGGTGGTGCCTGATGAGTATGATAAAGGAGCGGTGGAGTACTATGGTGATAAAGGACTGGTGGAGTACTACTTCTCTGGGTACTCTCCCTCTGATTATGGAATGGTGGAGTATTATCTCTCTGATGGAAAGATGGAGTTTGATGAAGTGGAGGAGTATTATCTCCTTGATTATGAAGCAGTGAAGATGATGGAATATTATCTGATTGATTGTTTCTGTAATTATGGAAGGATGGGAACGGATAAATTGGATCTTTTGGATGATAGAGTATTGAATCTCTTGTATCTCTAGTCAAGTTTGCTATTGTCAGTGGAGAATTTGAAAAAATTTGGTTTGTAGAACCTTGAGTACCATCTCCTACATTTCTTCCGTTATCTAAAGGAATTTGAGCGGATACATTTGTACCATCGTAATATTCCAAAACAGGAGTTGGTCTATCATTTAATATGTCATTTCTGGGTGAAGGACGTAAATTTGCAAATTCTAATTGGCTTCGCTCCGAAGTTCCACTTGCCGTAAAACAAGTAAATGTGGATGACGGAGTTTCATGAATTGCATTTTCGAAGCTTACCTCCGGAGTTCTACTTGATGTGAAAGCAAATGATAGAGTTTCTTGAATGACATTTTCTGGGGATGATAATTCTCTGCTTCTATTATATGGAGAAGTATTAGGTGTATCATCTTCGATTACTATGACTTCGTGAGATGATTCTGGATATCCTCTCCGAGTTGGAGTTGGGTCAATTATAGGTGAAGAAGTTAAATCGATGATAATTTGCTGCGTTGTATTATGTATTGATGGGCGAAGCGGTGAAGATCGAGATGGTGGTGATTTCGTGAGGTCAATTACTGGAATGTCATTTGTGATGTTGCTTGAACCAATGGGAACTACTGACCGGATAGGAGGTAACGTTATTCCACCATTTGTAGAAAGTTCGTACGGACAGCAGATAGGAGGTAGATCTGGCCCATCAGAACTTTGGATGGAAACTAATAAAAATGGATATCCGATTATAGCAGATGCGTTAACAAATAATTTGGAAAATTCGAAATAATTTTTATAAATATCGAAATTCAGTCAACTCACTATATAACGAATTTGAAGTCTCATTCGCAATAGAAAATTTCGCTTAATTCTGCGGCAAAGTTTTCGGTGTAACATAGCCAATCTTCGTTATAAAGTTATAACGATAAAAAATTTCATCATAACGTTATAACGAATAATTTAAATATTCGGTAAACAAATCTCTATTAAAAAATGGTACTATTCTATATATATGTTTTCCTACTTTATCATTATACGTTATAATGTAAATAATTGGTAAAAATTCGTTATATCAGATTTTTTTAATAAGTAAAATTAGTACCATACTAAATATCCGTTATATCATGTAACAATTCGTTATATAGTGAGTCGACTGTATAGGCAATAGTTTATACTCACTTTCTCCATTAGAGTCCACTGTTCTACGTTTAGATCTTAGCAACTCTTTAAATACGAAAATTTTATAAACTTTAGTAAAGTTGAATGTAGTGAAAAACGGTATTAACGATAATTGAGGTCATTTTTGTAAATAATTTTACCTGCATTTTCAGTGTTGCTGCTCGATGGTATTCCTGAGCAATAAACAAAATACAAACAAACATAGTATGAAATTTGACACTAGAAAAAAAAGCCAAAGAAAGTTATTGATAAATACGGACAAAATATTACCGTGTATATATAGTTCCTGTGATCGTTTTCGACGACGTCGAGCTATTCTGATTTCATGCGGTTCCGTGTTGTTTGCTATTATGTTCTATAAAAAAAAAAAAAAAAATGCATAATTTGTATCCATTCTTTTGTGGAATAATAACTGATAAGAAATAGAATATTTAAATACTTTAGACTCCATGGCATGGGAAATTTTAATATTTATAAATCGTCATACGTAAAAGCACAACGCCAAAGAAATATTGAAGGATATGTCGAAAATTTTTTTTTCATTTACCAAAATTGAAAGAGCGTCCTCGTATTTGAACTCTCACTTCGATTATATCACATGCATATTGGCACAATAACATAATCTTTTATGTTTTTTGGAAATCATAATTTGTGTATAAATAAATAGTTAGATAAATCATAATATTGATATGTAAATAATTGATTTATTTTAAAGAAAGTTGGTATATTAACAAGAAAATAATAGCCGTATAAATTAAAGAAGTGCCCTGATATGGTAAAAGGGATAAAGATTATACAAAGTGTAATCTTTAGCTTATAAGAGGCAGGTTCCACCAAGAAATTACTTAATTTTGACCATGACTTTTACTCTTAAATTCTGAGCATACATAGTAAACGTACCCACACCAGGGGAAGTCCTTGGACACCAAGTGTGTATCCATTGAACTTCTGTCACCCAAATGTATCATATGCATAAGATGATTTTCGTAAAATTACCAATGGCTGATCTATAAGCGGAGTATAACTCACGTGATTTTTCGGGTTAAAATAGGATATTACGTAATATAGACAACATTTGGTTCAATTAAAAGTACAAAAATAAATTTGTAAAGATTTGAAAGTTTTATGTCGGCTTATCAAAATTCAATATCCATGTAAGTAAAATTTCTTTAAGATTTATATTACATGTGATCTTATCACATTTCCGGAATCACATGATTCTTCTCCGTTTGACTTTTTAGGTAAGACACATACCTATTTTTGGGATATGAAAGCCTTTACGTATTAAATTGCACAAAAAAAAAGCACAAAAAATTAAATTTTGTAATTTTAGCCAATCAGAATTTTCGTTGATCAACCAATAAAAACGAATATCAATTATTCTATCCCCTTAACTGTTATTTCTCACAATTTTTTTTGATGTTTCGTTCAAAATAATACCAACAATAAGCAAAATGAGTTCCGAAAAGAATTTCCCTGCACAAACAGTAAAGCAAGCCTCTCCCTCCCAGCCCACGTCGAATTCATTAGCTAAAGCCGCCACAATACCTTCCGAATTAATCTTTCAAATTTTTAAATATGTTACATCTACAACTGACCTCAAGTCTTGTATTTTAGTATGCAAATCTTGGTGTCGTTGTGGTGTTGAACAGCTATGGCATAAGCCAGTTTTCACTAGCAATCAATCTCTTTTTAAATTATTATTCACTTTATCTCGAGGCAGCCAGACCTTCCCATATTCGTTTCTCATCCGACGTCTCAATTTTTCTTTTTTGGGAGAAAATATAACTGACCAAATTCTTTCCCGATTAAGTTCTTGCGAGAGATTAGAAAGACTTACTTTAGGAGGTTGTATAAGAATAACTGATACGGGACTTTTAAGATTATTAGAAAAAGCAGATGGATTGATAGCTTTGGATGTATCAGACATCGAAAATTTTACAGATGCGGTATTAGATTTGGTAGGGGAACGATGTAGACGATTACAAGGATTAAATGTGAGTTCATGCAAAAAAGTTACTGATAAAGGAATCATGTCGGTCGCTTCAAGATGTAGAAGTTTAAGAAGGGTACGTATAATCTGAAAAGTATAAATTAAAAAGAATTAAATTTATTATTATTATTATTTATTTTGTTATTTTTATTTATTTATTTTATTAGATCAAATTAAGTAGTTGCAAAAATATTACTGATGAATCAGTAGTAGTCTTAGCAAAGAATTGTCCACACCTGCTTGAACTTGATCTTACCAACTGTAATCAGATAACAAATGGAGCAATTCAACCAGTTTTCGAACATTGTACACAATTACGAGAACTTCGACTTGCTTATTGTACTCATCTCACTGATGATTCATTTATAAAAACGATGCCATCCATATTTGAACAATTACGAGTCCTTGATCTCACATCATGTGCTCACATCACTGATCAAGCAATTCATAAAATTGTTCATAGTGCACCGAAATTACGTAACCTTGTCTTGGCCAAATGTGGACATATAACTGATGAAGGAGTTTATTATATTACAAGATTGGGTCGTCATTTACATTATCTTCATCTAGGACACTGTTCCCTGATCACGGATCATTCAATAACTCACCTCGCTCGTCATTGTACTCGATTAAGGTATCTTGACATGGCGTGTTGTACTCAACTCACAGACGCGTCAGTCTTTGAACTTTCACATCTTCCCAAATTACGTCGTATCGGATTGGTGAAATGTGCACTTATTACAGATCAAGCTATTTATGCACTAATTGAAAACCGTGCTGCAGCTTATACCCTTGAACGAGTTCACTTGTCGTACTGTGTCAATCTTACTATCCCAGCAATTTCAGATCTAGTCAGTTTTTGTAGTCGCCTTACACATTTATCACTTACTGGAGTCCCTGCATTTCTCAGACCGGAAATTCAACGTTATTGTAGATTACCACCTAAGGAATTTACACCTCATCAACGTCAAGTTTTTTGTGTATTTAGTGGTAAAGGTGTTAAAGAATTGAAGAATTATCTAAATGGTTTACATAGATGTCGGGTTACAAGTGTTGTAAGCAATAATGATGATGATCGAGTTGTTCAACCAGAGATAACGGGTAATGCAGATGTTGACGATTCCGTAGCATCCGAGGCCGAAGCCGAAGCCGAAGCCGAAACCGAAGGAGTAGGAGAAGAAGGAGGAACAGGTGAGTATGATAATAGTCGTGGTCCGAGGAATATCAGGCACATGGGACATGATGAGAGTCCGGACGTTGATGAAGGGGGTGTCGGAAACGTACTTCTTGATTTACTTAGAATGTAAATAAATTGTGATGAATGCTTTAATGGTATTGTAATAACTTTTATTCAAACATGGAAATTGTTTGGATATATTTGATTGATAGATAGATAGATATAGATATAGATATAGATATATAGATATATAATAATTTCTGGATTTTTACTAATTTCTACATATTTTATTACTATATATATGTAGGTGCTAATAATAATGCAAGAAAGAACAATGCGGGAGAGAATAATACAGAAGAGAACAACATAAAAGAGAATAATGCAAACGAAAATAATAAAGACGAAAATAGTGCAGTTAAGAAAGTTGAGAATGATGTAGACCAAAATGCAGTCGAGAATAATGGTTTTCGGGTGACACTCTTCGCATACGTTTTTCAAATAAGATATTGAATGTCAATTGGATTTGAGCAATAACGTACTCAATGCACGCATCATAAAAAACATTCCTTCGCATTATTATTCGAGATATAAATACGAACAATAGTTCGAATACATGGACATTTGGATAAATTTTTAATATAATATAATATAATAATTATAACAATAATAGTAATAATAATTATAATAATAATAATAATAATAATAATAATAATAATAATGTCATGAAAATGAGATATCCTAAAACTCAGGGGGATTAAAATAAAAAAACTGTAGAAAAAACATTTAATAAACATTTAATTAAAAATCATTGTTAAATAATTATCCTCATTTTTCAATCACCTATCATTATTATAATTTTATTACAAATATATAATTATTTTTCAAAGGTTATTATAATTAAACTTTTCTTCCAATGTTCCAACCTTTCAATAAAATTGCTTATTCACAATTTTGCGAAATTTGGTTTCACTTTTTTCATAAAAGCATTAATAGCTTTAAGTATATCCTAATAAATAATAATTAATTATTTTAAAGATATTAGAAAAAATGAAAATAAATATAGATAAATAGTACATATATATAGATTATTATTATTATTATTATTATTATTATTAACCTCACTATTGAGCATTGAACCATTCCATATTGCAGTGTACTCGAGACTTTCTCGAGTGGAATGATCTCGTGAATAATTTAAAAGGTGTCTAAATAAATTAAAAAAAAAAAAAAAAAATTTATAATCTTACACACATACACAGAGAAGGACATAAAAAAAAATCGAGTCTACGTACTTAGTCCCAAGAGTTGCAATTGGTGATTTAGATGCAATAATGGTTGCTGTTTTAATAGCTTCCACTTTTTTAATATTGGAATAGGAATAAAAAAGAGTCAATAGAATAAATAAATGAATCAATGTAATTCACTTAATTGTAACTAACTCACTTAATGTTTCTTCCTTGTTTTTAAAAACTTTGTTAACTAATCCAGAATTAATTGCTTCTTCTGCCATTAACCTAATACAAAAATAATACAAAAATTAAATCAAAAATTAATTAAAAATCAATCAAAAATTAATGAATTATATTCTTGAAATAAAATCAATTTTTTTTTTTTGTAATCTTACTTTTGACCAGTGAAACATAATTCTCTAACAAGACTATCATTACCCACAATTTTTGGTAGTCGTTGCAATGTTCCCAAGTCGGCTGCTACCCCTAAATCAACTTCCTATTATACGTTATTAATACAAAATGATTAAATAATCGAAATACTTCTTGGAATAAAAAGAAAAGATAATTATATGATTCAACCTTAATACTAAAAAATGCATCTTGAGAACAATATCGAATATCACAAGCTGTAATCAAAGCGACACCAGCACCAATACAGGCATTATGAATTGCAGCTATAACCGGTTTGTCACAAGCTTCTACTGACGAAATTGATTCTTGACATTCCTAAAGAGATATTTATTAAAAAATAATAGAATATAAATAATATAAATAACATAAATAATTGAGTAATTTAATTAAATTTAATTATTAGTTGCTTGTTTTTACCTTAAGTCCTTGACGCACAATCAATATCTTACGCGCAATATCATCACCAATAGCTCCAGTTACCTCTGATAAAAATGCCACTTCTTTAACGAATTTAACGAATTGCAATTTTAAAATTAAAATTGATACAAATTTGATGAGATAAAATTAAATATAGATTATAAATTACAGTCAATTCCACCCGAAAACAATTTTCCTGCCCCCGAAATTACTACAGCTTTGACCATTGAGTCAGTCTTAACTCGCAAAAAACATTCCCCAAATTCTTTCCATAGACTAATAAAAAAATAAAGTTGACAATTATCTTTAATAAAGAGTTTATTTAAAAAAAAAAAAAAACAAAAAAAAATTCTTACATATTGTTAAAGGTATTTGATTTTTGAGGTCTATTTAGCTCTATATGAATTACAAACGGTGAAGGAAAATCTATTTTCAGAGTTTGGAATTTGTATTCAGACATTTTTTTAATTGAATTTGAATTCGAAATTATTTTACTTATTAATTAATAAATTCTCTGACCAATCAAAAATATTAAAAATATTATCACAATTGTAAATATTAAACATTTATAAAAATATTATAAAATATAATTTAATCTTTGGCAAATGACTTATTTAAATAATTGTACAAATCAGAATAAATAGCATATAATCAATTAAAATCAATATATTGTATTGTATGATAAACTGCAATAAGAATTTAGTAAAACTAATTAGTAAAATGGAATGAAGACAGATTTTTGACATGAACTAAAAAAATTGTCCCAATCATTAATGTTATCCATAAATCCCAGAAATATACATAATCATACACTTTGATATAATTTGTTAAAATTTTGATGCTAGAATAAAGCAAAAAAAAAAAATTTTCAATATATGTGTTAATTGTAAAAAATACAAAAGAATTAAAATAAATTAGCTCCATGGAGTCTCATTTTCGTTCCAAGGTCTTGCTTGCGTTTGCATATTTTCTCGTGCACCCCACCCATCCGAACCAGCTGGAGGTCGCGTATTCCTTTATTTTTGGAGAAATTTAGATCAGAAAATCGGATTATAATTATAATTATAATAATTATTATTACTATTTAATCCAAACCTGTTTGCACCATTATTATTTCCATAACTTGGATTATTATTATTATTATTATTATTGTTATTTCCATTATATGACTTTTGTTGTTGCTGTTGCTGTTGAGGTGGAGATTGTGAGTTATGAGACGATGGTGTATGTGTTACTGGGGTGAATTGACTGTTTGTCTTGGGTAAATTAACAATTGGTGGAGTATTCAATTGAGACTGGGAAGAATTATATTGAGGCTGAGGTATATTATATTGAGGTTGGGGTGTATTATATTGGGGTTGGGATGTATTATATTGAGGAGTATTATATTGTGGTGGCGATACCTGTTGTGGCAGCCCTTGTGAATATATATTTGTAGGTTGTTGTGTTTGATATGATTGTTGACTTTGTTGATTTGAAGGTAATTGTGTCCAATTATCATTATTAACCTGTGAAAGTGAACAAATAATTTTAGTAATAAATAAATATGATAATGCGATTTAGAATATTTAATATTACCATCTGAGATACTGGCTGTGGTTTTTCGCCCCATTGTTGAGGTTGTTGAGGCTGAGACTGAGAATCGTTTGCCCATGGTGGATTAGAACTATCCCATGTTTGTTTTTGATTATTATTATTATTATTATTATCCCACGATTGCTTTTGAGAATCATTACCCCAATTTCCGTAATCATTTTTATTACTATTTTCTCGATTATTATAGTTATTACGAGGAGGTGCAATATCTTGGTCATCGTCGTCATCATTAAATTTTCTTGTGGATCAAATAAAAAATTATTGTTATAAAATTCTTAAATATATCCAATCCAAATAAATAATTAATTACTTACAAATCTTCTGTGTTTACAACATATTTCAGAAAGTTCGGAACTTCTTGATTACATTCTATTAGAATTTTTACTAAATCGTGCGCAATTTCTGCATTTCTTTCATTATAAAAAGTTGTCGCTAACCCTTTATTACCAACACGTGCAGTTCTAAATATATTAAAATTACGTTTATATTAAAAAATGTTTAAAATCAATAGATTTAATTAATGGATAAAATTTAATACCTTCCAATCCGGTGAACATATTCATCAATATCTTTGCACAGATCGTAATTAATTACGTGCATAACATTTTTTATATCAAGTCCACGAGCTGCAACTGCTGTCGCGATTAAAATTGGAGATAGACCATTCCTAAACATTCCGAAAAACGCATAGATTTACAAATAATGAAAAAAATAAAAAATAATTAACATTAATAAATAAATATAAAAATTACTTGAAAGCTATTAAAGCATCCTCTCTCTCTCGTTGAGAACGATCACCATGAATACTAGTTGTAGGAAAGTTTTGGTTAAATAAAAAGTCGTCAAGAGAATCTGCACCACGTTTCGTTTCAACGAAAATGAGAGTTCGAGACGGAGGTTGTATAAGAAGTAACTCCACAAGTTTAGTACGTTTCTCTTGATCCTCAACATACATAATCTATCATAATTTATTTATAAATTTTTAATAAAAACGTATATTATAAAACAAAATAGATTTGTTATAACTAAATTAAAAGTATTTATATACACCTTCTGTGTAATATCACTAGTAGTACTACCAACTCGTCCAACTGTGAGAAAAACATGATTATCTGCTAAAAAATCTTTAGCAAGAGAACGAATTCCTTTCGGAAAGGTGGCAGAAAACATTAAGGTTTGTCTTGTTCCATCATCCAAAATATCTATTAATTAAATAATCTTAATATTCAATATAAAAAAAAAAATGATTAAATTATGTATAAATTAGCAACAGAAATTTACCCGATTTTTGCACAATTTTACGGATTTCGACCTCAAAACCCATGTCTAACATACGATCAGCTTCATCAAGCACCAAAAATCTAAAAAAAAATTCCATAAAAAATGTTAAATGTATCAAATATTAATATAATATAAAATTAAAAATTTTTAAAAACATACTTTACTCTACGAAGACTAACAATGCCACGATCTAAGAAATCATTTAATCGACCAGGCGTAGCTGTAAGTATGTCACAACCTTTAGCCAACTCATTTTTTTGTGGAAGTGCATCAGCACCACCATATACCACACTAAATTCAACGAAAAAAAAAAATTATAGATTGAAATTTTTTTTTAAAAATTTCATTTTTACTAGGTATAATGATTTTTCATACCAGGGTCTCATCATACTTCTATAACAGAATCTACGACACTCGTCAAAAATTTGGGTAGCTAATTCTCGTGTAGGCGCAAGAATCAAGACTAACGGTTCGGCTTTAAATTTGCGTGCACCTTGAGTTGGTCTAGGAGCCGCAAGTTTTTTTGCCTTACCAAAAAGTCTAGATAATATTGGTATTAGGAAAGCCGCAGTTTTTCCGGATCCTTTTAAGAAGAGACAGGATAATTACATTTAAGCTACAGATTAATTAAATTTAAATATATTTAAATATATTTAAAGTGGATTCAAAATAAATTATTTACCAGTTTGTGCACATGCCATAAGATCATAATTTTCGGTAATAACTGGAATTGAATATTTCTAGAATAAGTTCATTACGAAAGATAGTGAGTAAATAGCATTCATCACGTCTCCTTCGATGTTTCCATTAATATTTCTTTTAATGCCTCTTTTGAATTTTCCCTTTGATGTTTCTCTTTTTGATTTTTCCTTTAATGCCTCCTTTATTATAATATCACATCATTTAAAATCTTACCTGAACAGGAGTTGGAACATCATATGTAGCAAGTTTGATATTTTCTTTCATAACTTCGTGAAGATTTGCCTCCTCAAACTGTAAAATATAAAATTGTTTATTTTATATTATAAAGCAGTTCAAATATTTATAATTATAGATAGATATTTTGGATAATTACTCTGGAAATTGGTTTTATATTTTCTCCTCCCTTGACTGTCACTTTTATATTATCATATTTGGAAAAGTTGATACCAGTGTTCACATGATTTTCTTCACCAAAAAGTTCTTTTTGAAGATCCTGATCTGGCGGAGCGATACCGTCATCATATGAATCGTTCCATTCATAACGACGACGAAGTGCCGCCCATTGACGATTTGGATCAGTATTTGGAGCTTGTCTTGGACCCCAACCTCCGGCACGTTTTTCGGTATCTTTAATATCGTCGGACATTAGTTTTGTGGTAAAGATTGACCTATTTTTATTCTGTAAAATTGATCAAATTTTTAAAAATAGGGAAGCAAAAAAATTATAAAGATTAAAGGTTTTAAAATTAATAGTTCACGCGTTGTAAAACAAAATGTACAATTATTAACAACAAGACACTAATTGTCTTGAAGCACAGTCCACTGTTATATAGAATGAGACTATCACAACGCACGTAAGAAAAAAAATCAGAATGTAGTCCTAGAATATATGTATTGGATTACGATCGGAAGGATCAGAAAGGTAACAACTTTATTAAAAAAAAGAAAATCATGGAATTATTAGTACAACCGATATATTTATAGACTTGAGCAACAAATCAAATTTCATAAAATCACATTCTACAAGTTATCGAAGTTATCAGGCAATAAATGCTAAATTCCCCTCTCTATAGTCACAATTTAATTTAATTTAACTGTTAACAACGATTTTTTGACATATAAAAAAAAACGTTTTTTTTTTCGGATTAACTTGGTTAAATTTTAAATGGTTATATTGTAACCAAATTTAGAAACATAACATGAAAAAAAAAACACGAAATTTATTTTTGTCCATGAGTCGATTACATTACCAATAAGATGTGATTTATGTTTTTCGTTTTTTCAAATTTTTTTTAACAATTATCTTTGAATACAAAGATGAATTTAATCAAAAAAATAGATGTAAACAATGATAATAATGATTCATTATATTTTATATCTGATTTTTATAAAAAACCGCATAATAAATCTACTAAATATATATGAAATATATATGAAATATGGGGAAATCTGTAATTCATCAAATTCATCATTACAGGTATTCTTTTAACCAGTTTTATAGTGTGGTGGAATAACCATTGGCCACATGGGTGAACGGTCGATCATATAAAGCGAGTCATACGCAGAGTGCCAGTGAATTCTTATATAAAATCCTGATCTCATGAGATAATTTTCCAATTAAATTAGATTTCATGTGATAATTTTAGCGGATAAAAAAAGATAATATCCTTGAAACATGCAAATAAAAGTATAGCGGATAATATGGTATGAATAATACCTATATCTATGACGAAAAGGCAAAAGTCTATGATTTTGTCAGGCTTTTAAACATTTCTTCACTGCGGTGTAGTAGCGTTTAATTGGTTAGGCAAAAGCTCTTTAGACAAACTTTCTTTTTAAAATTGGATCTTTAATATTTTTCGCCAAGGTGTAGTAGTAGTTAATGGGTTAAAAAAGGTTCGCAAATCTTTTAACATTTCTTCACTGAGGTGTAGTAGCGTTTAATAGGTCAGAGAACTTTTTTTTTCGAATTGGAGTGGCTTTGCTGTCTTTAAATATTTCTTCACTGAGGTGTAGTGGTGCTTAATACTCACCTCCTTTTCAAGTTTATATCCTCGAAAAATTTTATTATTAGACACTTGAGCATATTCTGAAAATTTTAGTATTTATTTATAACAGATTAAGTTTTGAAGATATTCTATTAATTATTAATTATTCTTTTTAATAATCTTCATAAATAGAAAAAAAGTCAAACCATTTTGGGAAGAAATAACGAGGGTTATGAAAAAGACCTAAAAGTATTTCAAATTCTCGAAATAGTTGATAAATATAATTATGCTAATGAGTATTTTATTGAAAGGCATGCAAATGTTGAAGGCATAAACACACATAAACACAAATGTTAGAAGCGCATTAAATGATATAAAAAACGTAAGCTTCGTTTTTGATCTTGTCACAATTTCATCAATACACTGATTTATTTTCTATTTCAGCTAAAAGGTTGTAAAATGAATGAAGTAGCTAGATGTATTTCTATCTCTATATATATATATATATATCTCTTGCGAAACTATATGTTATATGGATTTAAAAAAAGATGATCCTCTCTTATCTGGGGTAATTGATCTTCGTTGTGTTCCAGTACAATTGGAATCTCACCTTATCGGAAAAGAATTATGGAACAGCATGAACAAAGAAATATATCTTAAAGAGGTTCCTGAGGATTATACTAATTTTATACAATGTATTATGGAAAATGATGATGATTGAATACTGGATAAATTTTATGATCCAGCCTTTAAGGAAGAATTAAAAATGTATTGTGCTATACGATATAGCTTGTAAGTATGTCTAATAATACTTTTTATGGTAAAATGATTGAAGATGAATGAATTCAAATCTATTACTACATTCAAATAATTTAAATATTCTTTTTTTTTTTTTATTTCTTATTATCGATTTAGAAGGTCATAGATTATATGTAATGATGATATTATCATGGAAAGTATATGGAACCATCAGATTATCAATCCAATTATTGAATTCTTGCTTCATAATACTGAAAGAGTAACCTATCAATGGTAAAAATTTGTTATTTGTGTATATTGTGCCAGATTTTTTATACACCATTAAGGTTTTTTCTTCTTTTTCAGGGATAATGGAGTAATATTGTCTACTGTACATGAAAGAGGTCTACAAAAGAAAGGCGATTTCTATTGTTATTTCCCTAGCCACCAAATTATTGATAACAAAAGATTTAGTATGAGCTTTTTTTTTGGAGAAACCTCATATGAACCTAATAGATTGAACAATGTCACCCATATAGAAGAAAATCAAATTTGTCTATTTAATGAAGAAGTTAATTTGTTCTTTCTACAATCTCATGGTACTGTAAATTATTTCATTATTTTATTTTATTTCATTTCATTTTCAATCTATTTATATAAATAAATTATTAGGTTACAACTTCACATTTTCAATTATGGGTTATGAATTCTACCCATTTTACCAAGTCTGAAGCATAGAAAATGTTATTTTACCAATTGAAATGGGGCCAACTTAATATATGAAAACTTGTTTAAAGTATTATATAATTTTCAGCAGAAATGGTCACACTTCTGGATAAAATTGCCCAATATGATGGGCCTTCAAAGTTCAAATAGGTATATTGAAAACGCCATAAGTGAGAAAATTAATGTAATTCATCAATATTGTAATTTTGTAATTTACTTTTGTACCAATAAACAATGAATATCAGAATAAAAAAAAATTGACGTAATGTTAATAGATATGTCAATTATACATTAATATTGTAATAAAAAAATGTTTGGAAAATTTTAAATGAGTTTTATAAAATATATCTAATTTAATATAATAATGAATTATTACACAAATTATAAAAATGTTATCAAAAGAAACTTTTAAATCATACATATTATCCTTATTAATTATTATCTATACGAATTTCCTTATTTTGTTCTTCCTCCCAAAACCATTCAGCACGTACTCGCTCTTTCACTTTGTCTATATCACCTAAAGCTTTAGGAAATTTACCTAATTCAAAATTTTCATTTTGCAGTATATCATAAAATGCTTGATATGTGTCTAGAATATGTTTCTATTAATTAAATAATGTAAAATAATGTAAATAATGTAAATAATGTAAAATAATGTAAATAATGTAAATAATGTAAATAATGTAAATAATGTATATAATAAATAATAATAAGAAAAAAAAATAAAAGAAATTAATTACCTGCATTGGCTTTAGTAATACACTTTCAGTTTTACGATCATCCAAGTATTCTGACATTTTAGGAATTATATAACGAAGTCTTTTCTTAACAGTTTCTTGGAAGTCATCATATACGTCTATAATTTTAGCTAATAATATGATATTACATAATGTTATATAATTTAAAAATAATTTAAAAATATGAATAATTATTTTGAATTTGATAAGTTACCAGGCTGTGCAAATTTTTGATTCTTTAACAAAGTTTGATGATGAACTGCCTTAAGATCATTTCTTAATCTAAAAGCTGATACCTAAATAATAGAAAAAACATATAAATATTTATATAAGTTGTATTAATTAATATCATGACTTTGAAAATTCTTACCTTCACTAAAAAAGAGGACAAAGGTTCAATTGCTGCTTTTGAACTATCAAAAATGAAATCTTCACATATGCGCTTAAGTTCTTTATCTACTTCCTAAATAATAAATATTAATATATATATATATATTTATATTTTAAATAAATAAATAATTTTAAATTTATTTTTTAACACAAAGAATTATAAACTTTTCTTAACCTGTTTTGAATCTATTCTATTTTCCACAACTTTTGGAATGCCTTTTGAGGCCAAACCAATTAATTTGGTTGGACTAAGAATTGAATATTTATTCTGTAAAAGTTCACCGAGTGCACCTATATATATAAAAAATTATCATAAAAAATTTTTGATTAATAAAAATGAATTCTTGAGATTCTTGAAATTCTTGAAAATAAAACATCAACCAGTTATTAATGAAAAGTCCAAATCTTTCTCTTCATGTACAAATTGAGTATCAAAGGAGGCTATTTGTTCTTTAAGAATCAATAAATGCTTGATCAAAAACAGTTGACCATCAATTTTACTCTAATTAAATAATTAAATAAGTAAATTATTTATATTATAATTTTAGCATTTCTCATGTGACATTCATATTACATAAGGATAGAAAAATAATAATAATTTAAAATAATTTATGTAAACACCTTTTTAGTTATTATATCACTCGCGGATAATAATGAATGTAAACATAAAAGAACAACTTCCTGAGCAATATCGTCAAAAATTGAAGGCTGTTATGAAAATTAATGCATTAAAAATAAATAAATAAATAAGGAAGAGTATTAATTTAAACCGAGGAATATAAATTCAAAGATATAAAATTTTTCTTAATAAAAATTAAACACACATTAACACACTGATAAAGCTTTGAAAGAATCCATAGGGTACGATGTAATGTAGGAAACCAGCCTGAATTGTTTGCATCAATTTCATCAACATTTGTTAGTAATGTTGGAGAATTAGGTGAATTAGAAACCTCAGATTCAACATCATCATTATCTTGATAAACTTCCAATATCGCAGGTGATGAAGGTGAAATTGACACTTTAGTTTCTATATCAACAGTTGGTTCAATATCTGTCGAAGGAAGTTGAATATTCTCTTCTACAAATTATTTGATATATTAATTATATGTTAAATAAAAATATTAAATAAAATTATAAATTTACATAAACCAATTTTTCAACTACTTTTCAATTTATCTGGATAATCCAAATCGATTGGTTGTGGAATAAAATTTTGTATTTTGCTGCGAATATAAGTTTGCACACGGAAAACAAGTCTTTGTTGTGCATCTTGTAGAACATTACGTATTAAGTGACTAAATTGTAGACCTTGACCTTGACCTTCTTTTTAGTTAATATAAAAATAATATTTAAATAAATTTATTTAATTTAATTTCTTTAATATAATATTGATTTAAAATATATTAAAATTACACAAACCATTTATATTATTCACATCACGATTGATATGACTTATAAGTATTAAACAAAGTTCGGATAAGGTCTCAATTTTTGCTTCTTGGATTATACGTGGACGCAAATAATCGTACATATAACTGCATAACAAATCTAAATTTCCGCTACATTACAAATAATAATAATAATAATAATAATATAATATAAATACATCAAATAAATATTCAAAATAATTAATAACATTTGAAATGTATCTTTAGAATAGTATTGATAATTCAACATACTATAAATCATCTTCACCGGTTGAAAAAAAGTCATAAAATAAGGAATATTCATCTAAGCAAAGATTTAACATATAATCATATCCATTCTTTGCCTAAAATTTTAATAATTTAAATAACCTTTTAATTCAAAAACAATGTACATGAATTATATTTAAAAATAAAAATAAACTTACAAATGATAAAATATCTTGTCCACCTGATCCCAATTCCGTAATTTTTGAATATATTGCAGGAATGAGCAATTGTTGTCGTACAGAAAAATATGCATTATAGCAATCATGTAATAATGAATTATATCTATAATAATTTAAATTATAAAATTATAATTAATTAAATGAGAATTAAATTAAAAAATTGGTTTCTTTGTCAAAGAATAGCGAGAACCAGATTTATACACCAATTATCAAGGACATACTCTGGATACAAAAGACATCGCTTTTCAATTTCTCGCATCAATCCTGTTAATTTTGGAGCTACTGCACGAAATTTTGTGTAAAATAAGGCCGCTTCTGTTGTAGTATTTAGTGTCTATTATATGAAAAATTTCAATTATAAAAATTTTAAATTATGCAAAAATTTCAATTTCAATTATAAAAAACTCATACCTGATTATTCGTTTTACTAATTTCTATACCAAGGCCTTTAATTGTACCAATAAAGTGCACTTTTATTAAATTCATTCCTTGAGTCATGCAATTTTTAAATTTCATAAGATAAAGTTCTGAATCTCTATATCTAAGCTAAAAAAAAATATATTAACTATTTAACAAATAATAAATATAATAATAATAATAATAATAATAATAATAATAATAACAATAATAATAATAATAATAATAATAATAATAGAATTTTTAATTAAAAAAAAAAAAACCCCTATATTTAACTTACATTACTTTGCATATGCTCTATACATTCATCCAATTTTGTTAAAATTGGAATAAAATTTGGTTGCTCACATATATTATCTATTTGTGAGCTGAATAATTTTGAAGTGGGTTCTAATTCATTGTAATAAGCTAATTTAGAAGCCATTGCATCTGCCAAAGATGTCAAATTATTCTATGAAAATTGAAAAAGATTTTAATTAAGTAATAAATAAAATAATAAATAAAATAATAAATAAAATAATAAATGAAAAATAATAAATGAAATAATAAATGAAAATATATTACTTGTTCTTCCAATAATTTCTCACAAGCTGTTTGCATGGCCTTAGTCCTTTCTTCAACAAATTTGAAATTACCATCCAAATCATTAAATAATTTTACAGTATTATCTATTTGCTCTAAAAATGTATCACATACTTGTCTATATAGAGTAACCACCCCAAGAAAGTTTCTATAAAGTTAATAATATTATTAATTGATAAATATTTGTTAATTTTATTTTGATAATTCATTTATATATTGATTCATTAATATTGAATTCCTTTTAAAAATTGATTTCAACCTATAAACATCTTCTTGGTCTTTTTCCATGTCTGTTTCCATTCTAGCAAACCAATCAAAAAATTGTTGTGTAGTTTCTATTGGTTGAGGTATTCCATGATTTGCATCTGAAGTATTAACACTAGCTGCTACATCTGGTTGAAATTCTAAGTTCATTGTAGATCGTGATTTGGGAAGAGGTGATGGTGATGGGGTTGAACGAAGATTCGGTGATAATTTGAAATTCTCTTTTACAGATATTGCAGTTGGGGACGAGGTACGTTGAGGGGTCCCAGCTCCAAAGTCACTGAAAAACTAGAATTTTAAAAAAGTATTAATGCTTTAGAATTGCTAAAGGATAAAAAAACGATTAGGGTACTTACCCCGTCAGGTAATGGTAACTCAGTACAAGCATCTTGGAGTTCTAAAACACTCTGCTTTTGCGTTTCTGTGAGTTGAGTTTTTGATTCCCATTCCTCCAAAGTTATCGTTTTAACTCGTGATGGCATCATTTACAGTTTTTCGGATCATCAACTAAGAGTTAACTGATCAGTTACACGATAGTATAATTAATGAAAAAACTGTCCTACATTTAAAATTACTAATTAAAAAGTTAGCCAAATCATATATCAACTAAGGTAAATATATCTATTCAAAAAAAAAAAAACTGATACAAGTATACCTATTGAATTAATTTCAAAGGAATCATTTCGAATTTTCAATTCATTTGGCTCTGATCCATTATAAGATAATTCTTCAGATAATTTACTAGAAACTGAAATAAAGTGTATCATCTATATCTCCATCCAATCTAGTAAATAACTGTACTCTATATCTGTTAAAGATATCTGCCATAATTATTTTCATAAGTTGAAATTATTGGTCGTAATGCCATAATTCGGGCGTAATGCTGTAATTATGATGTCTGCACTTTATAATTTAGTGCAGGTCTTACACGGATCATAAATTTATATGCTTCTAATTTCACAGGTTATCATAAATTCAGAACTTCATTTGCAAACCAAACAAATTTTACTCTCCAGTTATTTGATTACAACCAGGTGCAAAAGTCGTGTATCTTAATAATTCTCTTAGTAAACATAGGATACTATAATGTATAAATTTGTCAAAGCAATTAATTTGAGTTGCATTTTCTGTTCAAAGGGCATGTATTTTTTAAAATTTTATCTAATAAATAAAATATTAAAATACATTTTTATTTACTAGTATTTAAATTAAATATACAAAAATGTGATGTTTTATGATTCATTAATCTTCTCTACGTTCTCTGGATGCTAAATATCTTCTTCTAAAGATTGCGACAAAATCATTTGTAGTTCTTCGTAGTTTTAACCAATCTTGGTTCTGGACCGCTCTAAATTGTAAATTGTAAATTGTAAAAATTTTAACCGTCAATCAAATGTTAAATATAATAAATAGATATTGTTAAAAAAAAGACATACAGATTATATTCCCTTATAAACGAATTTTTCATATCTGATGTACAATTAACATCTTGTAAATGTTGAATGACTTCCAATATCCATTGTTGACAATCTTGTGGAAACACTTTTGCCAACGATACCAATATGTCATCAACGTAACTTTGCTGAAAGTCTCTAGGAAATGTATAAATTAAACCTCTGATCATGTGATCAATCAATGTTGAACCATGCTGCCGTAATACAGTTTCAAGAGTCAAAATATTTGAATTAAATCCCATTGAAGTTGGAGATGTTGGTATATGAGAAATATTCCTTGATGAAGGGTGTATTTGAGATTTTCTTTCTTTTACGATGAATGAGAGCAATTTATTAAAAAATAAAAGAACGGCATGTAATGCATCTTGTTGTTCAACTGCTAGGCATGTTAAACCAGCACCCAGAATGGATGGAAAAAGAGCTGAATGTGATAAAGTTAGGGGTGCACACTCAACAAATGCAATAATGGTGCGAAAATAATCCTCAACGACTGTTCAAAAAAGGAAAAAGAAACGGTTAATATTTAATAAGAATATAGACATATATAGTGAACATTATTGTTTAGTTGATGTATAAATTGTTTACCATCAGGAATTTCATCAGGTTTTTTATCAGCAAGAAGCTTAAACATTGTAACGCTAAATCTTTCAATAAACGTTAGTAATGCAAGTGTAGCTTCATTTCCTTCGCCAGAAGAATGCTCTCTCACACATTTTCCTGCTGCCCACACATAACAACTCAGGCATGTTTGATCAAAGGCAGTGATAAGACGTTCCATAAGTTCAGGAAGCAATGGTCGAAAATCAATTGGATAAAGTACCGCACAATATTTGAAACATTTGCAAAGACTCTCTGACAAATGGGGATCAGCTCCAAAACTAAGTAAGAGAAGATCAAACACAGGCCACAGTTCTTGTATAATGGAAATACATGGATGGGCTTGATCAGTCGTAATATCAATTGTTTCTTCGTTTTCGCGGCGATCGGCAATGACACGAAGAATAATTGAAAATTGCTCCAATTGGTCTTAAATCGAAAGTTCAATTCATATTTTAATGGAGTATTAAAACAAAGATTTAAATCATGAAACATGAAAACACTTACCACATGCATTTTTAATTTCCTTTTCAGTCGCTGATGCACCTTTGTTCGCGAGTTCATGTAGTCCTTGTGCAATAGGAAAGCAAAACATCTGTAAAGCTTTTAGCAATTCAGTGGTAGGTACAGCAGCGATGACATGAGTAACAGCTTCGGTAACTTCATATAAATCTGCACCGTGAAGTTTTTTCGAAACATTAAGATAAAAAGGATGTAGTTGTGGTAGATATTCAACCAACAACTAGATGTAATCCCAAATATTAGTAGTAGTAAGAATTATTATTCCCGTAAATAAACTTATCAATTACGATTTAATTGACTAATAATACCTCACTACAATCCTTGCATAAATATTTTAACGCCAAAGCGGAGGCAGCAGCCACTTCATCATCATCAAAGCCAGAAGAAATAAAATGCAACTGATATGGAATAAATTGAGAATGATTTCTAGTCCAAAATGAATACCGGGAAATAACCAAAGTGGCAGCATAACGAAGTTTTGGATGATCCGGTAATTGTTGCATAAGTTGCATGATTTGAGGTAAAACTATGTCTTCATCATCCGATATTTCAGATCCCATTGCTCTCAATGAGAACAAAGGTGCTTCAATTTCTTGCCACTCTATTGTGCTTCTATTCGTTGTATTCATCAATAAGTTTGTTAAAATATTGTAAGGTCTCGATAAACACTCTTGTGAACCGGCTACAATACAACAATCTTTAAGAACGCCACCCATTACATGACGAAATTCACGAAATTCGTCTCGTTTTTCTGCTGACCAAGTTGAAAGATCTTTTGGGTAATGTAAATGTTTAATCATTATATCAACTAAGTTGGAAAATATGGGTTTAAATTTTTCTTTAATTCTCGAGTGATCTGATTCAAATAAAGTATCAGCTAAACGATGCCAGAAATAAAATGTAATCTTAACAATTTCCGTTTCATGATAAGCTGTGCACTCAGCTATACTTTCTACTATACTTTGAAAAGCTTCAGCATGTTGAACGATCAATTCCAAATATGATTCACCAGCTTGCGTGAAAATACGACAATACCCTCGTACTTTGTCTTCATCGTCTTCTTCTATCGCTATCTTTAATGAATCTCTCAAAGGTAACAAACGTGGATATATTTTTTCAATTACTGGCATAGAATCAGGGATTTCTCGAGTTTCACTAATAATTCTACAGACAACATCAACTGCTACATCGAATAATTCAACTGATTGCAAAGCATCGAATGAAATTACTAAAAATGGATTATTTTCCAAATTACTGATTGCAATATCACCAGAATAAAGCCAACTTTCTAAACATTCAAATACTCTTATTTGATAATCAGGATTATTGCCTAAACATAAGCAAAAAAAAATTAAAAATTAAAATTAAAATAAAATGATATTTACATCACAAGTATTCATAATTATAATAGAATTATGTATAATTATTTTAAAATATGATTTACCTAAATTCTGCAAAAAAATTAAGAGCATTTGAAGTACTTCATTAGCATTATTTGTTAATAATTCTTTGGATCTTACTCGATAATTTTCATCCTATATTATGCATATAATGATTTAAATAATTCATATATATATATATATATAAATATAAAAAAAAATATATATATAAAGAAAATAAAATAAAATAAAATAAAATAAAAAGAAAATTTATGTTCACCGATATAGGTATTCGATTATTTGTAGTAATTTCTTCAGGTAAAATTTTAAGAAACTCTAATAAACATTTAACAGTAACAGGATTTTTACCGTACAATTCTGTAAGCTGAGGAAGAACATTTTGCCATTCAGGCATCTGGAGTGCTAATGCTGCAAGAGAAAGACATATTTGAGTGACAATATTGCGAGGACCGTCATGATATTGATAAAGAATTTCTAAAAGCGAATCGCGAAGGGAAATGCGAGCGGCACTGTCGAGTTGATGCAAGTCGAGAGTTATCTAATATTAACGACCCAATATCAGTCGAAATTCAAAATTAAAATGTTGAGGGATCAAATTCAAAAGGATAGATTTACCGGTCAGGGACGATAGTTTCGCTTCTACTCTATGAGTTAAAAGGTTATTACAAGAAGTTATTGTATCCATACCTTTTGTCGAAATGTTCGAGCAGCGAAGTGTCGAGCGGTTTCAGGCGTTGAATGAGGAGATCTTAACATTTGGTTTGAAATCGCCCATGCTTCCGGCTGTAGAAAAGAAAACGGTTTGGAAGGTCTTTATAATGCTTGTGACGAATTCGAAAATTGTTGTTGTTATTAGTTTCGATCAGCGAATCTCCAATAAATTACCGTCTTCTGAAAAGCTTGTAACCATGTATCAGCCTGTTCTCTTCTTGCTTTATCACGAGAGTTATATAAAGCATTCACTTCCGTTAAAAATGCCTCTGTCGTATCTGTCATTATTAGCTAACAAAGAATACAAGGGATCAAAAAGATATAATGGGGATATAAGTTACACGCGAAAGAACTTTTTATAAAATATTTTAAATATTTTAGTACCACTTCAGATAATATGTGGCTGGTGTATAAATCGTTAACCAACATAAAATGGTCAATAAATCAATATAAACTACTCAAACTGCTTCAACTACTACATAACTTTTTATAACTTTTTTACCACTTTATTACTTTTACCACTTTATCACTTTTTATCACTTTTTTCTTATTTTAAATTTATCATGGCTCTTAGACGTATCCAAAAGGTAGTTTTTTTTTTTTTTTTTTTAACTAAAATATGTATTTTACATTTATCCAATTTATATTTATATATTATATATATATATATTTCATTTTCATATAGGAACTTGCTGAAATTTCCAGAACACCACCAACTGGAATTAGCGCAGGTCCCACTGACGACGAAGATTTATTCAGTTGGACAGGTTCGTAAATAAAGATGAATATTTGAGATTTGATAATCTACCTTTTAACTTTTTGACTAAATATTAAAAAAAAATTTTTTTTATATCACAATATTACAGGTACGATTCTTGGACCTGTAAGTTTATTATAATTTATTCATATATTATTTATTATTTTTTTGTATTTATGTTATGTTTTTAAAGCTTTTGATTATGTATTTACTCTTTACAGTCAAATAGTCCTTACAAAGGTGGCATTTTTAGGCTCAAGATTGAATTCTCTCAAGATTATCCATTTAAACCTCCATCAGTATGTATAATAAATATAAATAAATAAATATATATATATTCGCAAATAAAGTTTTATCATTTCATATTAATTTTCATCATATTCTTCAGATTAAATTTATTACTAGAATATATCATCCAAATGTTGACGACGATGGCTCGATTTGCGTAAATCTGTTAAAAACAGATGTGTGGAAACCTGCTACCAAAATTTCTCATGGTAAATATTGAAATATTGAAATAAAAAAAAATTTTTTTTTTTTTCAAGTTATAAAGATCGAGTAATCGAGATTAATATATTATCTCTTTTTTTTTGTTTTTTTTCTAAGTGCTTGAAGCCATTTTAAGTCTTCTTGAAAATCCAAATCCTGACGATGCACTTGTATCTTCTATAGCAGAGATTTATAACGTCAACAGAGTAAAATTTATCAAGACGGCTAAAGACTTTGTTAAAAAGGTTCGTTTATGACTTAATAATATTTATAACATTTTTGTTTCAAATCTTTTTTAATAATTTTTAATTTAATAATTTTTTTATCTCTTCAAAAGTACGCATCTACATGATAATATTAGTCGAATATCATAAGTTGATAGATTCGTTGCAACTTCAAATTTCTTATAAACAATATTCACTTTTTCGTTTTTTCATTTATTCCATTCTATCAAATTCATATTTCTAATCAGTAAATGAACAATATATACAATATATAGATTATTATACATGTCATCTTTGCAATATATCGCAGAGCGATTCCTGATTAAATCATACTATATATATATATATTTTTAATATATAATAAATTTGGTAATTACTTTTAGAAAAAAAAACTGATTGATATTTTTCAATGGAATTGTAATTTTATTTACATATAATAACTTTTGTTGTTATCATAGAAGAATTCTTAAAGGGATAATTTTAAGAAATAATTAAGAAGCAATCTAAGAAGTAATTTGTTTAATCTGTAAATATAGACTATTCATTAAATGATATTTAAATAAAGAACATTATTATCTTATTTTAAAGTAGATAAATTATGGGATTAAGTAGTTCTATTTAAGAAATTATATAATGATTTTTTTAAATATTAAAAATATAAATCGAAGATTTGAAAGAATTGAAAGAAGAATTAATTAGGTTAATTGTCAAATAAAATATAAAATTTATTCAAAAATTCTTATTTAAATATTTAAATGTAAAAAAATGTATGAACTTCCGACCCTTCCAATAAATAATAAATAATGAGATATATTGGAAAAAGGGTACTAAGGTGTTCAATTTTTTAAAAAAAAAAAATTATTTAATATTCGCAGCTCATTTTGACACTCTATTATCAATTTGTAATTATTATATATACATGATATAGAGCAACACTGAGGCGATTGATTATTTGTATTAGATTCATTAAGAAGAAAAAATTCGTTTACCTGTCTGAATAAAATTCAATCGATTGTTCTGTTTCTTAAAATGGAATTTTGTATATTTTCAGATTCTATACTGGATGATGATGATGATGATGCGAATGTAGTTCTGTATTAACAAAAAATTTTCTTAATTCATCGTTGAGATCAATAAATAATGCTTAATTTGTGATAAGAAAATTGTGTACTTACATTTTTACAGTTTTTACAGGCCAAAAATTTTACAGTGGATCATTATTACACTTGAAATTTTGAAATTAGTGTTAAGAGTATTAAAAAAATAAGGTATCCAGGCCAACACCTTGTTTTTTTTAAACCCTGTATTCATTTTGGTTTTGTGCATCCCTTGAAGTGAAGATAACAAATTTCTCTCATAATTTCATTCATTTTATTTGTGGAAGCCATCACATGTCGAATGATCAAAAATTGGAAAAGTTTAAAGCTCAAATTGCATCTGCTAATTTGCAAATATTACCTGCCAGTTGTGAATGATCAAATCTCCACAAAAAATCCTTGCAAATATTCTTTGTCATACTTACCAAAAAACTTTTTTCTCATTCAACCTGTGATAGCAAACCTAATATGGAACAATGAGCAATGCAATCTGTCAATTAATGAAATCACAAATATGCTGAAAGTATGGTTTTGGAAAATAAAAAAAAAGTTTTATTAACATGAAATTAGTCAAAAAAAAATTCTTCACCAACTTACACATTTAAATTACTTGACAAGCTTGACCAGACCCAATTAAAATTCTTTGAATAATCTTTGCACTTATTAAAGCATACTTATAGGATGCAAAGATGTAATCTTATTGATAAATGTTATTATTGTAAAGATCAAAAAGCCACCTATCAACTACTTAACCTATGCACCCAACACTGTAAGACTTACACATCAAGAATCAGTCAAATTTTTGATACATATGGTCAAAATTTTTGGCTATTTTCTATATACTGTTTTTTTTTTCCCTATTTGCAAATCAATCTTCTGCCTTTTTCCTATTTACAAATTATCCTAAAATCATCCTTACCTATTTGCAAATATTCCTTGCCATACTTGCCAAAAATTTACCTTTTTTTTTGTCATTAGAACTTTTTATTCTATTTCTTAATGAAAAAAAAAACCTTAATGTCATTACTGTCCACTATCACCAGAGTTGTCAATATGTAACATTATTGTCTTGAAGATCAAAACACCCAATCTTAATCAATAAAAGTAGTATACACTTCAAAAATATCCAAAACATTTTCTAACTTAATCATTATGATCCGATAATTTTTTTTTTCGTATTAAGCATAATGGGTCAATAACAGAATAATAACTGCATCTGAGCGTGATGGATAATCAACACTTCAGCCTAGAAAAAGTTCGTATCAAGCGAGATGAGTTACCAACGAACTGTTCAGATTGATAAAAAATAACGATAACATTATTATTATTCAACTTCAAAAGTTTTCGGAACAGAGACTGCCATAAATTGTTGTTGGATTGGTCCGGTTATTGCTATCGTTTTCGTTTATTTAAATGTAGTAAAAAAAAAAAAATCTGGATTGATTAACATAAAATCATTTGACTACACGTGATCTTAGAAATCGCGAAATTGGTTAAACTCAGGAAAGAATTATGTGAAGAGAACTGGATTGTCTTAAGATATGTTTGATATTATGAATATCTACATAGATAGTCATTCCAGAGAATTTCAAGAAAAGGAAATATATAAATAAGTTAAAAACTTTAAATAAGTTAAAAACTTTAAATAAGTTAAAACTTTAAATGCATTTGAGAATTAATCGAGACAATTTATTATTTTTTTCGATCATAAGATTATTATATTAATACATGTGAAAAATCGAATTAATACATATGAATTACAATATTTAAATTGACTGCAAAATGTAACGATAATTATTTAGATATTAATTATTATAATTTATATTTACATAATTAGTAAAAGAAAATTATACATGTGATCACATAATGAGTTCTCCTCAATGAATATGAAAGAATGCTTCGTCCTCCCCAAAATCACCTCACATTTGTTAAGATCCATGCTGATCCAACGTTATGTTATTGAGCAACGGGGTGTTGAGCTCGGAGAGTAGGGGGAGTGAAAAAGTTATTATTTCTGCGAACAATATAGATTTCGGTGTTACATGTGAAGTGAAAAATGCTACGCGAGTTGCTAAAGCATTCATAACAGTATGATAAGCGGACAAACTGTACTGATGGATCCAAGATTGATTTTTTGAGGGAGTAATTATAAGGAATAGGTCAAGAATTTTAACATTTTCAAGTTGCTTCTCGCTCGTACTTCGCAATTTCTTTGTAGGAAGCTTGCATAAAAATTGTTTTTAAGCGCTTCGCGGGTAGATACGAGATCATTCTAAATCTTTAAAGTTTTCAGAACTCTAAAAAATAATGGGAAAGAGTAATCGTTTATTAACTATAATGAATAACTTTATACGTTATACGTTATATGTTATACTTTACTCAGGATAAGTGGGTTGCTTTGCATAAAATGGCTGTACGAAAAGTATCAGGTTACATAGTGATACGGATCTGATTTTTGATCTACTGATATTGTAATTCTCACCTGTATAATACCAAATGATCGAGACAAAGGGAAAACCATAAAAATGGAAACAAGGTTTCTGTGATGACAAATATCATATTTATAATCAAACAGAGCGCATGATATTATTAGATACCCGAGTTTGCGGGCGCAGTAAAACTAGTTGTTAATTTAAGATTGAATTCGAGAGTTAAAAAAAGGTATTTTACTAATGTGTCACTCATATTCTCCATCAATCTTTTTAACATTAAAATTTACTTCTCAACCACAGCACAATTGATTTCAGGTATAATATCGCTCTTGATTGAGGCCGGTTGAAAACTCACTCTCAGTGCCTTCTATATCTTTATTTACGAACTTAGATACCAAAATGGGAAGGATAGAATTTGTTTGATTCATCATTATCATCATCAGAAGAAGAAGAAAGAAGACAGTTCAATGATAGACTTAGCTCTTTTTTTTGAAAAGTTAGGGAAAAGAACTCTTAGAGAGTGCGTAATGCAGGTCAAGAAAATCCCCACGAGACTAATCAAAGAAACCAAAGAAACCAAAAAAACAAAACGAACGCTTTGATCGGATTAAACTTTTCTTTTCTCCGCACACATATATGCGTACATGCATGCACAAAGTGATACGTACTTTGAATGATGTCATTAAACTCATTTTGGGAATAAATATTTTTAAATTTTTTTAGTGAAGCAAATTATTCTTTGGTTTCAGTTCCATTTCCGAATAAAATTTTAAATTTAGATTTATTATAAAATTAATATTATTAAAATTTTAAAATATTAAAAAAAATTTTTTTTTTTTAATATTGTTAAAAATTTTAATATTATTATTATAGTAAAAAATTTAATATTTAAAATTTTAATGGAAAATATAATAAAACTATTATTACATCTTACCAAAAAGTAACTTCGTTATCCAAAAACAATTCCTTGAAGGAATCCCCCCCCCAAAAAATCCCAAAAAAAAAAAAAAATGCACTTTACCTTTAAAAGTCATTATCTAAACTGTACAAATAATCCTCTCTCAAAACATGTAGAATTTATACAATACACAAATATTTTAATAACCATAATATCATTTTTAATATCGACGTTAGGAGTGTTGACAGCATTAGTATTGTCGAGTCGACGTATTTCACAATCAGGAGAAATGAATTGGTTTAATTTCATAGGTTCGGCTTTTAGTATGGGATTTGTTGGGATATGGGCAATGCACTTTATAGGTAATTCATATTTTGTTTTTTTTGGGGGGGGGGAATTCAAATTAAAAAAAAAATATAATTATAATGATTTTACGTTTATCATAACATTTTAGGCATGAAAGCGTTAACACTTGAGGATTGTGTTTCTCATAAAATTCACCCAGTAAAATTTAATTTATGGTAATAACATAACATTATACATATATATGTATATATTATGTATATATATATATATATAATATTTATTTATTTATTTATTTATTTATCCATAACTTTTCGTGTCTATCTTTTTTCGTGTTTTCGTCTAACTTTTCTTTTTTTAATAATAAATAAAAAAAATAATTATTTCATAAAATTTTTTAGGTTCACAATATTTTCAATAATAATTCCCATAATAGTACTTAATATGACATTTTTCATGGTTGGAAATCAACCGAACCTAACAAGAATACTATTTGGTGGTACATTTGCTGGAACATGTTTGGGTACGTTAATTAAAATTTTATTTTATTTTATTTATTTATTTGTTTATTATTTTTATTTATTTTACTTTTATTAATTGAATTTTAATTTTAATTTAATTTAATCCTTTTATATCTTTATATATATATATAGCATTTATGCATTATAGTAGTCAATTTTCCGTAAAATATTATCAAATTCGGTATAATGCATATTGTTTAATTTCCAGTATAATCGTCGCGGCATTATCCAACAATTTTACATTATTTATTTTCTTTCGATTACAAAATCGATGGCGAAATAGTTGGATCAAAAAACTTGGATACGCAATGTTAATAGGGTTATCCTTATGTGGTCTGCATTTAATCGCCAGTGCTGGTACTTCTTATTTTAATACTGATGTAGAAGGGGATGATTTGAATACTGAAAATTCATCAGGAACGTTAATTGGTCGTGAGTAATTTATTTATTTATTTATTTATTATTTTTCTAGCATAATTCATTACATTAATAATAATAATAATAATAATAACAATAATTGATTGATAATTGAAACAATTTTTTTTTTAGTAATATGCATAGGATCGCTGATGACATGTATCATAATTATAATAATTGCTCAATACCGTGAAAGAAAGTGTAAACGACACGCACAAAATGTTGTATTGGGTTTAGCAATTTATGATGAAAAAGGAATGATATTAGTAACAAATGAAGGATATTTACCGTATAGAAAAATTACCAATGATAATTATCAACAAGTAAGAATTATTTTTGATTATTTTATAATAATAATATTTTTATAATAATATTTTATAATAATATTTCTAATTAATTATTATTAGAAGTTGGAAGAGGAATTTACCACATATAATTTAGTATTCCATTGGATATATCGATTAACTCATGATTGGGAGAGTATTAAGAAATGGCTTTCATTTATTGAAATTTATATTCAAAAATTCATGTCACCTTCAAACATAAAACCATCATCACCCATGATAATATTCTTCACATCATTTATAACACAACTTTTCACTAATTCAATTCCTTATTCAATACAATTTCGAGGGATGTTCATTCATCATGCCAAATTATTATCTGAATCTTTAAATATTTCACTTGAAGAATCTGGAATACTTTATGATCGAATTATTGATACCGGAATCTTTAAGAATGTAAATGAGAAGGGGAAAGGAAAAGAAAACGATTTAGAGATTAGAGTGACGGAACATCAAGATAATGACAATAATGATAATAATAATAATGACAATAATGATAATAATAATAATGATAATGATAATAATGATAATAATGATAATAATGATAGTAACAACGATAATAATAATAATAATAATAATAATAATAATAATAATAATAATAATAATAATAATAATAATAATAATAATAATAA